TTAATAGATAATCTAGTCATCTTTTCTACTTCATAGGAATGAGCTACGCGCATTATCTGGCCAGTAATTCAAGTTACTATAAGAAGTGACTTGTAGTTTTAGAAATTCAAGTTGCTCTAACTAGATAATTTTTTTTTTAATTTATTGCAGGAAATTTAAGTATTAAGTCATATTACCATGACTTGTAAATAGTACAATTGTTACAGATTTTATTATATATCAATATATAATAATAAAAGTTACAACAGCTCACATTATTCACAATATTGTTGATTTTTAGATTTTGTGTAAGCATATATAACTAGAATTCAGCTGTTTATAATTTTTTTATATTTATATTTTTGTTGACGTAGAAGATTATTGTAGTAGATTTTTTTTTTTTGGTGCTGGGGATGATAATTTACCCTGGTTAAAAACTCAAGAACTTGTTTGATATTCAATGATACGATCATACGAATATAACTTTTTATTTCACCCGCTCATCATTAATCCTTCACCCGAAAATGCGAAGAATTCAAATAATTCACGAAACCTGAAATGACATGAGGCCCTTCGGATTATAAAAACGGGCTCCTAATGGGATCCGCCTGATCTGATTCGGCCCACGTCAATTGAATTGTCACCTCCACACACGAGTCCACCTATACATTCAATTCACGATCTTGAAGAGGAAAACGAAAACGAAAAATATTTATTCGTCAAAAAGAAAAATAAAAATCAGAAGCGTCGTCCGAGAAAATGATTCCAAATGAATAGCGTTGACTCACAATGTGCAAGCACGAGTTTTGTCGTTTTCACGCTCAAAACTCTGCTTAGCTTAAATGAATAGGCTATATCATGTGAATATTATTATGGCAGTTTGGTTGATGGATGATGAACATGAACTTATGAACCTGAAACATGGGGCTTTGTCCCTTGTGATCTGGCTCTGTGCAGAAGCATGCAATGACCCATATTCGTGTTGGGAAGGCTGCTCCTTCACATGCCACCCCACCTTTTTCATTTATTTATTTACTTATTTATTAACCCCTTCATCATATTACTTGCTTCTCTATATATGACCTCCACTCTTAGAAGCGTTTCCAACGACTTTTCGTTTTTGTCTGTTATATATCATGGAGCTTAATATATTCATTTGAGTCGGTGTATAGTAGCACCAAGCATGTTAGTTTTCTTGCCCTCATCAGCCTTATCATCTTCTTCTTCACAGCAGAATCCCAATTTTATTATATTTGAAAATTATACATATTCAACCGCGCATGCCATTATATCCAGATCATCATTCATTCCTAAGTCAACGACGCACTAGTCGGACCGTTTTATTTGTTTGTATATGCATTAGCAGACAACGACAACGATTGATGTGTGTGTTGAGAGAGGGAGAGAGAGTTTATAGGAATTGTAAGGAAGGCTCATCCCGTGCCTATTTTACATGTCATCCTGGTGCAGCAGTTTTAATCATATAAAACAATGTTAAAAAGAAAATATATACTCAACACACATATGCAATAATGACATGCATGCTACACCAGAAAAAGCATCTTGTGATAGATTCTGATTAAGTAAGGCTGGTCCCCTTGCTTGTAGGATTGGGTAATCGAACTGGTTCTTATCAGTGCTCCTATATTTTAGTAGCATCCTTCATCCTACACCAACTACACTTTTTCATTTGTTTCTGACCACTTCATTTCTTAAACTTGACTTTTGCACATTACATAAGTTAGCCGCTAATGAAAGAAAATTGTAATATATATGTATATATATTCATATTCATCTTACTCTCATCACTTGTAAGTAGGGATTGTTCACGTACGTGGTCGACCAATATATGAGGACAAAAATTCTCTCTCTCCCCCACCCACAAGTTTTAATTTCCTCCATTTTATGAAAGTTATAGAAAAATACCAGTATAGAATAGAGATGGCGTCGTCCTCAACATTATTCGATGACAGACATTCCAGAACGTTAGAATAGAGTTGAAATCTTCTATGCTGGCTGCTTTCAAATCAAATTGATGAGTCTCGTCGTCCTTTTTTCACTTGCACTTAGTTTTCCCCTCTCATTTGGGTCACTTTTAATTACCCCAACCTTTTTATTGCAAATCTATTCATTAATTGAAAGATACACGCACCCGTGTATACATAAAAAAAAAAATCAAAAAACACTTTTAACTGCAACTTGTCCAAAAGACTTTTAGTGAAAAAAAAATCATCACTACGACAACCGTCGTCAATAATTTTGGAAAGCGACAAGCTTTTTGCTATTAAAAGTCTATATTTAGTGGCGACAAATGTTGCTATCAAAATTTTTTTAAAAAATTAAATTTAAAAATTGATTAAAATGTTTATAAAAAAATTATTTAATTTTTACAATTTCTTTCATTTTAAATTTAGTTTCCCAACAAAGATAATTGAAAATATAATATAATATATGTATATTCTTTTTTGTGCAATATATGCATATCTTTTTAATAATACATTATTTGAGATACCTGTATATAGTTAAATAATATATATTTAATTTCATATATAATAATTACAAATGCATTGCAATGTAACTAATAAAGAAAGAAGACTTGAAGCTTTGAAAGTAGAAATTAATGGTTCAAATATTGACTTTAACATATTTTGTAATAAATATGTAACATGACATGAGATGCACACATGGTTGGGTGATGTGGAGCGAGGTGTTAGGTGATGCAACATGAAAAAGCACACATGCTGTGAGATGACATGGAGTGAGGTATTAGGTAATGCAACATGAGGAGGTGTACAAATGGCAAGGTGACATGGAGTATGGTGCACAAGATAATCTTTTATTTTCTTGCAAAAATGTCATCGTTAAAAGTTTGTCGCCAACAAAAAACTATTAGCAATGAGATTTTTTATGGTAACTTTATTGTGGCAAAAAATCACTAGTAAAAATCTTTAGGACTTGTTTGGTTACTAAAAAATGAAATAAATTGAAAAATTAAAAGTAAAAATAAAATGATAGAATAGAATAGTGAACCACATTCATAAGAGGTGAGAGATAATTTAGTTCATGGAGTTGAAAATAATAATTCATAAAATTTTTGGAGAGTGTTATAATTCCCACATTTATAATATATATTAATAATTTTTATCATGCTTAACATGAGAAAGAAGAGTGATTTAGTTTATTTTTATGTCAATTTTTTTAAGCTATTTCATTACTTTCTAATAATCAAACAGAATCTTAATAGTAACTTTTAGACTTTGAGCCGTTTTTTTTTTTTTTTGGCAGCGAGTGAACAATATTTAAGGAGGATATTATGAAAAACGAAATAGAGAGGAAGGGAAGAAGAGGGGGGTGGGGGCATAAGGGACAAAGAGCATCTTCCAGACACAGCAGCTTCGTCTCCGGCGCTCCTCCTCTGCTTACCCCTGTCAGCGCTGCCCCCGCCACTATTCCTTCACCTTCATTCATTTTGAGATCTAAATACATTATCCCCAGTTATGTTGAAATTCATTTCACGCTCCACTAATCAGTAATCACTTCATCTCTGGATACTATAATTAATGTGCTTGTAAGTATCCTTTAAACTTTAAAAATTGACACATATGCATGCTTTTCTAGTTTCGCATTTGTCTGCACTTCCAGTCCCTTGCATTGGGCATGTTGTAACTAAACTAGACCAAGTTTCTACATCATCCTCAACTTTTATCATAAACTTTGATTAAATTATACCATATCCGACGTGTATAGCTTCATATTTTAATATATTAGAAACAAAAGTAACAAGAGGGCCTCCATCTCCGAGGCTCAATGGACTGCTGCTACATTATCTTTTCGGAAGACTCATTCATGACAGTGCGTGCTGGTAGTGCCTCCTTACTGGATCTCCACACTCAAATAGAGTGGATCGCTCATCATCTCAAATTTCAAGTCAAACTCCGCATATATGGGTCCCTGCCCCTTCCTTTATATGTACATATACATGCCTTTTGAGCCGTCTGTGTTCTCCTTACAACTGTATATATACATATATATATATATATATATATATATAACATGCTGCATGTGCTTCTCTTCCCTCCTTCTCATGCCCCACTGCTCCGTGTATGTTTTATCTATAGCTCCATCATGTCCGACAAAAACAACACTAACATAGACATATATACATATATAGAAAGCAGTGAGACTCCACAAAATGGAGGCAAAGAAGGAGTAGAAAGAAGGGAAAGTGAATAGACCCGGAGGAAGCGGGGGGAAGAGACACGCGTCAGGCTGGCACCAGGTAGATCTCCCCGTTAAAGCTCTGGACTTGCGGAATAATATATAAACAAAACATGGAATTTGCAGGAGACCCACAGGGGGTCCATGTGGCCCTCCTAGAAAATTGAAGCTCCTCTCTCTCTCTCTCTCTGCGTTACACTCCTGTTTTAATTGTGCCAGCTATACGATCTTTTCTTAAGAAAAACACACCCAGTTTCCTGTTTTAACGTGTTTATATATAAATCAGGAAACGACCACGAGAAAGTACTTCGGATTTATTATGGGTTAATTCACCAATATGGTCCCTCCTTCATTATAATATCATAACTTTGTCCCAACGGAATAATCTAAATCATCGACGCAACACTCCGAGTGTATGTATGTTCTAATTAACCCCTAACCTTTTATACCTGACTGATCATTGTCATCCAGTTAGCCACCTAGTTATGGTTTTTTGCTTTGTTCATCAGAATCATAATGACACATTCAGAAGGAAACGCGTTTGATATATCTGTGCTGATTGTATGCATATATAGAGAAAATAATGATCTTGAGATGCCCGCTCAAGTGTTCGTTGATATCTGAAGCTAGCTTGAGTTATAGCTAGGCATTTCTTTTTATCATTTAGGGCTGACTTATTTTTATTTTTAATTCATGGAAGCGGTTGTTGAAGAGGTTATATATATAAAGCAAAAGATTTCTTCGGTGTAGATAATACATGAAGAATTAATGTAAAACAAAAATGAATGGACCATACAGACCGGGAACCAGAGAAAGGGAAGAAGGTGGGGCCCATCCGCCGCCCCCGAGAACGCAGGATCTTACCCGAACCAAAACAAGTTTGGACTTTGTATCTATACCTCATGAATCTAACCCTAACTCACACTCTAGTTTTTATGCGAGAAGCTCCTCCTCCGACTTCTCTCTTTTTCCATACAATTCCACTCCAACAACATCCCAAACGCCACCGTGGACACGAATGCGTTCGAAGGTCCACTGAGAGAGAGGAAATCCGTAAGAGCGCTCGCGTGGTGCCTGCGAGACCTCGCGAGATCAGTAATTATTCAATTTCTTTTCAACTCTCTCTCTCTCTCACCCCACTTGAAGCTCCTACTGGAGTTCATCGCGAGAAAGAGAGACAACCAGAGACTAGCTTGTCATAAATACCAATACTTGTTTCCTTTAGAAGTAGCGTCAGTTTTGCCCTGATCAATTTGGTAGTCCCAGTCTGATTTTGTTTATTGCAGTATAGAATTGGATAATTTTTTCTGTGACAAGGCAAAGCAGTAAGGCCATCAATATCAAAAGATTAGGAATGGATCCAATGGCAGGACATGGGCACTCTCTTCCTCCACCATTCCATCTACACCAGCAATCGCAGCATGAGCATCAATTTCAGACTCTGCAGCAAAACACAGAAGATGAACAAAGCGGAAGCAGCAGTGGCCTAAACCTCTCCCACAAGAGAGAGCGAGAAGAAAGCAGCCACAACAACAACAACGATCAAGGGAACATGAACGGCGAGGGTGGAGAAATCACGAGAAGGCCCCGAGGTAGACCGGCGGGATCCAAGAACAAACCCAAACCACCCATCATCATAACCCGAGACAGTGCAAATGCCCTGAGAACCCACGTCATGGAGGTAGGGGACGGGTGCGATATCATGGAGAGCGTGTCTAACTTCGCCAGGCGACGCCAGAGAGGGGTTTGTATCATGAGCGGAACCGGCACCGTCACCAATGTCACTCTGAGGCAACCCGCTTCTTCGAGTGCCGTCGTTACACTTCACGGAAGGTTCGAGATCTTGTCGCTCGCAGGATCCTTCTTGCCGCCACCGGCTCCTCCGGCCGCTTCCGGTTTGACCATATATTTGGCTGGCGGACAAGGTCAGGTGGTCGGTGGGACGGTAGTCGGGACTCTTACGGCTTCCGGGTCGGTGGTGATTATGGCGGCGTCGTTTAGCAACGCCGCCTACGAGAGGCTTCCGCTGGAGGAAGAAGACCCTACGGCAGCGCTTCAAGGGCAAGGAATTGGGTCACCAACAGGTGGAGTTAGTCAGCAACAGCTATTAGGGGACGCGGCAGGTCCACTCATGCATGCTTTGCCTCCTCATCTTCTTAATTCTATGCAGATGCCATCTGATCAGCCTTTCTGGGCTACCGCTCGTCCTCCATTCGGATGAACCATCGTAACTTCTCTCAACCTGTTAGAATCGTCAGACGTAGGAGCCTACCACACTTGAGCTAGCTTAATGAATTGGTACGCTTCTCTTAGGATTTGTATGTCATTTAGCTTATCGATTAATTACACGATCATATATGTTCACTTGGCTTTTGATGGTCCTTTGGTCAGTTTGATTTTACGGAAATAAGCGGTACGTACTTGTGGTTCTAGAAAAAGTTGTAGGAGAGTAATTAGTGATGGTTGTAGCAGCAGTAAGATAACTGGAGAATTATTGATGAAGACGAAGAGAAAGATGCGTACCTAATAGTGATTGAAGTTGGCCCGAGCTACTTCTCTCTATTTCTGTTGTTCCTTCATATAGTGAATGAAGTGTTTTGTAAACTGACTATTATGGCTGTGGCTTCGCATTATTCATTGGTTCCATCTTCTTCTCATTTTTATGTTCGGCTTCATTTTCTAAACAACAAACAGGTAATGGGTAACGTCGACCTTCACTCCTCATTTTTCATGCTAGAGTAGGAATGATGATAAAACTTCAGCACCATCCCCCCCCCCCTCCCAAAAAAAAAAAAAAAAAAAAAACACTCACACTCACGGAATTTTTGTAGTTAACTAGATACATGCGTCCGTGTAAACGTTGGCGCCTGGCCAACACGCATGCAGGGTCTGATCAGGGCTCTTTTTCGAGGCAGTCACGAAATGTTTTCATTTCACGAAAGGCAATCATTACCAAGATGTAGCTTTTCTCTTGCTCATGTAATCGATTATATCAATATATATATATATATATATATAGCTTTCTAGAGTTGATTGAAGCCATGCCCCAATCACAACATTCCATGAACCTAATTAAACTTGTTGTCCACCCAAATTAAACATGAAGTTCCCCAAAACATCCATAGCATTGTCAGCTTAATTAATTACCTCTTCTTGCTCCGATACATAGAACCATAGTATTTGTGTAGGAGAGGAGACATGGATAGAAAATGTGAAAGCAAGGCCTCGTGTCTGCGTTGCTTATGAAGAGGTCTCGCATTATGGTTAAGGTTATAAGGTGCGTGCTTATACATTCTGCTATGCAAGTGCTGTTTCCCTGTAAGGAGGGAGCTCGCAAGTCTGCAACAATGCAAGAGGATTATGTGCAGTGCAGTTGAAGAATTTGGTATAAAAATCAGTGTTCCTTCCTTCCTTGATAAAAAACGAAGAGTACTTGTTTTTAATATTTTCGTTTTTCTTTTTTTTTTACATCATTTTATGTGGAGTCTAATCCAGGGACTAGGAGTCTATAACATTTTTGGCAAATTCAATTATCTCAGTTGTCAATTTGTCATACATCCAGACAAAAGATCTTAACATGCATCCTATTTTTTTTAATCCAAAATATATGACATTTTTAATTATTTGATAAAAATTAAGAAAAGAAAAAATGACAACAAAATCCAACCAAAATATATAAATAACAATTAGGTCTCTCAAAATATTATAATTCCTTTAGAGTTCCTGGGTACTGTTTTGACATTAATGATTTTAAATTAAATGATCAAATTGCCCCTTGTTGGAAAAAAAAATTAACAAGCCTGGCTCCATTTTTTCAATTAAAACTTTTGTTCTGTAAATCATAAAAATTGAATAAAAAAATTAAAACGTTTCAAATTAAATTTCTTTTAGAATTGCAACTTTGATTATGTGAATTGTAAAAATTGAACAAGAAATTATAATTTTTCACGTGAAATTTCTTTTATTATTGAAGTCCCAATTATAAAAATAACCAATCACAACTTTTATTTAAGAAATTACAATTTTTATTTTATAAATTGCAAGAATTAAATAAGAAATAATAACTTACCATATGAAATTTCTGTGATAATTGAAGTTCAAGTTTTAAAAATAATTATTTATAACTTTTATTTTATAAATGGCAAGAATTAAATAATAAATCACAGCTTCTCACATGAACCCATTATTTTTTTATTGTAAACAAGGACAATTTAATTATTTAATTTAAAATCATTAATATTAGAAAGGTACTTAAGGATTTTAAAGGAATTATAATATTTTAAGGAACTTGATTGTTATTTATATATTTTAGTGAAATTTTATTGTTATTTTCTCTTTCTGTAAAAATAGTTTGCATCATTAGATTAAAATAATAAAAACTTATTACTGCTTTTTAAATTACCCTCCACCTCTTGATTGTTCCCGAGATGTTCAATGGCGACTTGATGCCTGGCGGTGGCGTAATGACGAACAACGACGAATTTTTGTGCTCTAATTTGGGGTTGATAGGGATGGGTTATTCTTTTAATTTACCAAGGATGCTTTTTTCTTTTCATATTATAAATACACATACCAAATTGAAAATTAAAAAAATTCATGTTTTACCAATTTTTTAATTCCCTTTTACTTTTTCAATCTCTTTAAAAAAATTTTTCCATCATACCCAATGGGCCTTTTTTGCCACCAAAAGGGCCAGATTAATTTATAACTCATGGGCTACATCTTTATTGTATCTCAGGCCCCTGTTGAAGTAGCCCTTCTCTATGGAATTGAAAAACTTGATTGGAACAATTCCCCCAACTAATGATGAGAGATGTCCCGTTTAGTATCTAATAATACCTCAAACAAAATTATTTTAAATAAAATAATAATTTTGGATAACAACTAAAAGACATTAACAGCAGAAAATCCTATACGGGACTAGCAACATGAATTACTTGATATTATTATATTTTATTAATAGAAAAATCTTTAAATATATTATTAACCAAATCTTTGAAAAACTTGGCTGCAAAATAGAGCAAATTTCTATACATCAAGTGTGCTTTCGAAATAACAAATAAATTAAACGTGATCTGTATGCATTGCATGGACACTAGCCGAAGTACTTACTATTTCCCGTTTATCCAAAACAAAAAAAGAAAAGGAAAGGAAAAAAAGTAGTTGCACCGTAAAATGATATTCCATCAAGATTACAATATACTTCTTCCAAACTATAATATAAATCACTCTCTAAAAGTACTTCTTGATCCAAAATAAGGTATTGGGTAAATGTTTTAATTTTTCACCATGCATACCCCTTTTTTTAACATTCCTTATCTTCAAATGCTTCATATTTAAAGACTATGCATGTATTATTATGAAAGCTCAAGGATATAAATGCAAAAATGTGATTAGAAAAATAAGATTCCAATTAATATTTTTCATAAAATATATATTAATTACTAATGAATTATATGATGGTAGGAGAAAGTAAGTTATAGTTAATTAATTTATATTTTAAAAAAAAGTTAGTTAAAATTTTGATTTTTTAAATTTTTTACATCTTTTTAATCATGTTATTAACTGTAACAAATTAAATTTAACTTATTCAAAATATCCTCATTAATTACTTAATAAAAGAAAGGCCTAACTTCAATATATAGATATATATATATATATATATATATATAACATCTACATAATATCTTATATTTTAAAATAAACAAAATGTAGAAAAGTAAAATGATAGTATACGTGTACTTGTGACGGTATTAAAATTTTCATTTAACTTCAAAATTAGTTGTTCAAACTAAGTATTATTTTTTATCAAAGTTATGTCTTTCTATGAGGCATGGGCATTGATAGTCAAGTTATCTCAGAAGTCAAAGTCCAACTTGATATGATTAATTTCACTAGCATAATTTTAAATTCACACCTTTAGCTGCTTTTTTAATCAAAACGAACCAATAAAAGCTTGCAGAAAAGTATTTTTTTCCAATTTATATTTAGCAAACTGAACTTCAAATTCCAAAATTTGACCTAAGACACGTACAGTTAAATGTGCATATTTTTATCTTTTTAATTTCTAGACTACTTCAAATTTAAGGAGAAAATGCAAGTACCTTGCTTAGTGTTTGGTTCAATTTAAAAAAGGGAGGGAAACTATTTAAGAAAGGGAAAAAGCAGAGCTAATTATACATTAACTACCATACCCTTGCATGTATTCATAATAGATTTTTTTTTTAATAATTTTGCACATCAAAATCTTTTATTTACCTCACTTATATATCTATAATAAATTTTTTAAAATGCTTTTGAAAAGACAACTTAATTAATTTTCAAATATCATCTCATTTAAAAAAAAAATTACTCCCAAAAAAAACTTATTCTTGTTATATAAAAATCAATCTTTCATATAAAATAAAATGCCCTCGGCAAAAGCCAAGAGAAGGACGGCTACGGTCCATCAGGATGATGGCAAATTCTGAAAGTCTGGAGAGAACCTATTTCAGCGAAACCAGTATCTGTTTCAACCGCTAGAAGAGGCATAGAGGCATATTAAACGCATCTCTACTGAGAATGTTCCTCACAACAACTTACAGATTGTGACCGTCTAATCCAAAGCACAAGGGACGCAAATTACAATCTAATTAGAAGCGCAAATTATTAAGTTACAACGACTAATAATGAAGGGCACATTCCAGTTGGTAAAAATACAGAAATATTCACCTTTTGGTATTAATTAAAATTCTGCAACATGTTTCAGGAGGTTACGAGTAAAAATTATATTTGCACACAGATGACTGGGAAAGGCACGTTGTACCAAAAAAAAAAAGACAAAACAGAAAATGTCAGAGTATTCTTCACAGATATCCAGTTTCCGTTTTGCATAATATATTATCAACTACCACTTCTAATAAACTAATTGCGTAACAAGACTTGTAGTTCAATCAAATGATTCCAAAAAATAATAGAAGGCCTGCAAAGTGATGAAAGCACAAGTAGGTAACCACTTCAAATATTCAGTGACTATAATTATGCAGGCGCATCAGATTTATTATTGGACCGTCCAATCTAATTCTACCAAACTGCTAGTAGCTAAGAAGAGCCAATGAAAGAGAAATAAACCAAACCGTTTTCCAATGCGCTAATCAAGTAAAACACAAGTTGCAGGACGGAGGCAAATTCTAAATCTTGTTTAGTTTGGGGGCTTTTACCACTGGATTAGCCTTGGCAATCGCATCACGGCCAGAAATCTTGAAGTCATATGTACACTCGTGCTTCTCCGGATAACGATGCGTCCCGCAGAAAGTGCTCCCACACTTGCACGTGAATCCACCCAACCCAACCTTCTTGTCACAACTGCTACAACGGTTCGCCGCCTTCGGCTGCCCTTGATCGCCACCGAGAACCACGGGCGACGAAGACGATGCTTCCGAAGGAGTTCCAAAAAGGAATTGCGCTGAAGGGTCCGATTTCAGCGCCTTATCAGACGAGTGAGCGGATCTAGGGTTGAGTGATTTCTCCATGACGGCTTTAGCGGAAGCGGCTTGCTGCTCTTTGATTTGGAAGTCTCTGTAACATTTAGAGCAGAGGTTCATGGTGCCGGCGGTACCAAAGAATCCACAGTTGTTGGCGCACGGCTTGGGCTCCGAAGGCTGGTAGCTCGTGCCATCATTCTGTTGAGATCCCATCTGCTATCAAGCAAAAAGAGAAGGGTGAATGTTCGGAAATTGGTAATTCTTCCTAGGGTTCAACCAGACTTCGATCGTGAGTCCCGTGGAACCGTGGATTATGGTTATATATGTTGCATACGGTGATTGAAATCCCGCTGAAATAGGAATAAAATAAAAGATCCCACTAAAACTCCTTAACAAATATCTGAAAAAACTCACCAAATAAAAAGTTACTGAAAAGTCTGCAAGATGATCCTAGTCCTAGATAAGGTAAAATATATTCTCATAGATATATAGATATATATATATATATATATATATAATATAACTTCAAAAAAAAAAAAAGGGCATCCTCAAGTCGGAGGAAAGATACAGGGGAGGCAAAGTCGCAGGAGAGATTCATGTTTGGGGCTTTGGGCTTGGGCCCTTTGCTTTATGTAAAGAAAGAGAAGAAAAAAAGATGTTTCCAAACAAGATTTCTTTTGACCACCCTTTCAGAATTGGGATGTTAAATTCCGTGCTGGTCACGTAAGCATCTCAAAACACTTCTGAAAAATTTTAAAGAAACGAACAGAAAAGAAATGACCCGAATTCAGATGAAGTTTCAGAGATGCAAGAGAAGAGCAAGATAAGGGGAGAGTAGAGAAGGAAAATGAAGAGGGTCATACCTTGAGAAAGGAAGAAGGAAGAAAAGAGATGAGATTGGGAGCAGTGAGGCGTTGGGGAGTAGAAACAGAGGAAGGAGGAATGAGGGAAAAGAATGGCAAGTGAAGGAGAGAGCGATGAAGCGGTCTTTTAAAAAGGAAGAGTTGGGAGACGCAGCGCCCAAACTCGGCCTGTTGCTTGTTCTCGCCGTTTTTTTCTTTTTTTTTTTTTTGACCAAGTTCTCGCCGTTGAATTGCCAGTAAAAATCGTTTGGTTTTTCCACGGCACCCCCAGATTTTGCATCGTCATCCCAGCTTCGTTGTCTCAATGCTAGCCAAAGATAATGGGCCCGCCTCGAGGCCCAAATTCATTATTTTAAATCCACGGGGATATATTTTTAGGAAGGTAAAAACAGTGGATAGGGATAGAGCGCGTGCTTGCTGAGTTTCTTCTAGCTCCGCAGCAAGTTGGGTGCTCCCGAGGCGTACCGTGGAATCAGACAACGGAGCCAGCGGACCGGCTGGAGAGCACGGTGCCCTACTGGCGCTGAGCCTCGTGAGACTCGCGAGTCGTACGAGTTTCATTCCACGCGGACTCAACAATGTCTTTGACTGACGAGCGCTGATTATCAACAGAATTTACTGAACGCTGTCCCAGTCTGAGACTGAGTTATCCATCTGTCTGTTTGCTTCCCATCAGCGCGTATAGCTTACGCTTATGAGGAGGGTAGGACGGGGTTGAGTGTGCCCCCTCACTAGGTCGCCGATGCCCTCATATTGCCGTCATTATAATTGACAAAGCACGGGCTCCTGCTGCCGCATCTCTGCTGTATAGCTTCGTCAATTTTTTAGAGAAAAAAGTATAGAATAATCCCACTTACCTTATTCTAATATTTCTGACAAATTGTCAAAATAATATTAGAGTGTCGCTTAAATATTGATTTGTCCGATTATGTGAATGTTCTGTTCCGTGCTCGAGTTGCTTAGTTGGTTTGACAAGAAAATCGAAGTGCTTCAACTGATCGCTCTTTCTGTGCCTTGTTAGTATGTATCAGACAATGTTAGACTATTAAACTTAACCAGTTAATTCATATAGTTGGCACATACTCCCATCACGTAAAAGGAGTGTATTGGTTCGTCCAGTTGGGGCGTCTATTTATAGTGTCTTTTGTTTTCTTTCTCCTCCACTATTTTTATATTTTCATCATTTTTTTTTATGTTCTTCATAATTCTCTCTCGTAAAAAAGGCATAAAAATATATTGTTATGATACAAATAGGTGGAGTATTAGTTAGCAGTGGGAAAAACCAAACTGAAACTGAAACCAAAGATCAAATTGAATTTTTGTTATTTGATTTGATTTTTCAATTCAATTCAGTTTAAAAAAAAACATATTTTGATTGATTGGTTTGATTCAATTAATAAAATTTAAAATTGAATAGATCAAATCAACTAAATTATCATATATATATATATATATAATTCATTAATTTATAAATTATATTTAATTTATCAATTACTCTATTTTATTTTATTCTTTTTAATTTTATAGTAAAAAGTACATATATAATCTAATAAGTTAAAATCTTAACCTTTTATTAAAATGAACTACTATCACCTTACAAGCTCAATTTTATATATAAACATTATCTCTTTTATTAAAAAAATAGCCCAAATCCAAACAGACCAACACAAAGTTCAAAACTACCCAAGCTAAATTATCAAATTTCAATTTAATTTTTATTTGGTTCAATTCAATTTTTATTTTGAGTGTTGTTTGATTAATTAATTTTGCATATTTTGACATTAAACCGATCCACGCTCACCTAGTGAAGAGAATTAGGGACACTGGCTAAAGCTATAAAGCTTAATTTAATATATATTTTTCCATGCCTTTTCGACAAGGTACTGATTCGCATGTACATTTTGATTCATTTTGTTGATTATGGCCTCTCCACCCCTCTTTTCGAATTGGTTTTTGGGACCATCACAACTCTCGCTAACAAGAGCAGTGTGATATCTTGATGTGAAAGTGGGAGTAGCGGACGAGGGGCCCTTCTCAAATCTGAATCTTTGGTCGGACCTCATGTACCTAGGCACCCCTAACACTTTTCTGCACACAGATTTATGCACCTTCATCTACCGGTTCAAAAACTACACTTTCTCTATCTCAAATTATAACATATTTTAAAACAAGATTACACATATTAATAAAACACAATAATAATACTTTATAGATTTATATTTTCAAAATAAAACTATAAATTTTTAAAAATATCCCTAAACAATTAATTATTATGTTACAATCTCATTTCAATTTTCTCTCCATTTAAAAGGTAATATTAAAAAAATATCATTAATGAAATATTGTAATTGATTCTCTAGAATTCTTTATAAGATATTTTACAAGAAATATCTAGATATCTATATGAATTTATTTAAAATCTATCTAAGATATTAATGTTAGAGTTACCTAAACTTCTCTAGAGTTGTCCCCATTCTTTTAGAATGTTCTTGCACAGACTAGAGTAATCTAGATTTCTCAAGGTTATTTTGGTGTCTTCTAGAGGATTCTAAAACATTTCAATTCATTTTAACCTCTTAAAATTCATAAAATGTAACATTCTTTCTCACTTAATTTCAGACATCCTCATCACACCTTCCACCTTGTAGCATTGGATATGGTCAATGAATTTCCACAAGAGATCTTCATATTTCCAATTTGCTTTGGAGTTAGCTTGTCCTTCCCAGGTGACTAAGTACTCGATGTAGTTGGGAACTCTTTTCTTCCAAATCACCTTGTCAACAAAAATTTCTTCTATTTCTTTGTTACATTCCATGATAACTGCCGTTGGTGCTCTCGCAAAGATATTCTAAAATGGAACTTCTTCATCCCTATAATAATTCTTCAAGAGACTAAAATGAAAGAAAGGATGAATCTTAAGTTTCGCCAAAAGTTGCACATAGTATGCGATCTGTCCAACATGCTTGACAATTAGAAAAAGACTTTCTATCTTCTTACTAAGCATTTGTGCACTTTGCATAAGGACTTGAATTGATTTGGTAGCAACTTTACCATTATTGAGTCCTTAACTTGAAATTCATTAGGACGCCACTTTTTATCAGTCCACTTATTCATCATTCAAGAGGTTTTATCTAAGCTTACTCAAGTGATGTTTGCTTCCCTTTGCAAATCTTTGGCAAACTTATATGTAGCGAGATTGTTTCCATTATATGAAGAGGCAAGTGCACTAGGGCTTAAAGGTTGTCCCATAACTATCTCAAAAAGGCTCTTAACTCTTCAACTCACTTTGTTGCAAATTATAAAAGAATTGAACCACATCAAGCAACTAAACAAAATCACAATATGCACTTACATAATGTCAAAGGTAATGCTTTAGCAAAGCATTTATCCATTCCGCCAGTCCATCATTATGGTGATGAAAGATTGTTGAGAAATTCAAGTATATCTCCAAAAGCTTGAAAAGTTTTCTCAAGAATTTTCCAATGAATTGGAGATCTTAGTCATTGATAATGCTTTGAGAAATCCACCATAACTTTACGACATGTTTGAAAAATAAGCATGCCACTTCATCAACCTTGCAATCTGCAGGGACTAGTATAAAAGTGGCATATTTAAAACAATCAACTACCACCATAATGTTGCCACGTCCTTTAAACTTAGGGAGGGCAACTATAAAGTCTATTAAAACACTCTTCCATGGTCTCTCAACTACCAAAAGAGGTTCGAGTAAACAAACAAGATGTTATTATCTTACCTTATCTTACTGGAATACTAAACATGTCCTCATACACGCCTCGACATCCTCTTGGACATGTGACTAATAAAAATAATTCTATACAAGAGCAAGTGTTCGGGCCATACCTAATGTCCAGCCATTTCAAATCATGGCATTCTTCAAGTACTTTTCTCTGAACGTTGCCCTATTTTAGCACATAGGCTCAGTTCCCAAAGGTGCAATGTGGCCCATCATTTATCCAAAACCTTCAAGTTTTGCCTTTATTAGCAACCTTCACCAAGTCACCTGTTACAGAGTCTCGAGACATACTTTTTTTAATTTAGTCAAGGAAATTATTCTATGGCATATTAGCAGTGAGGGTGGCTAATTTTCACATTCCGTAAGTTTCAAGAAGAACCTAATACATTTCAAAATACTCCAAAAGCATTTAGAACAATTTAGAAATATCTAAAGTAATATAGAAAGATTAAGAAGGTTCTAAAACTTTTGAAGAGATGTGAAGATATCTAAAATATTTCAAGATAATCTAAAGTGTTCCAAACATATCTTGAAGATAATCTCTAAAAATGTCATTGTAAATATATAAATATTTCTTGTAAATATTTTTATAAAAAATTCTAGAGATAGAGTAGCAACTTTAGGATCGAATCAATTTCCATTGTCCATTAATGAGGTGGAAACATTTTCGATACGAGAGGAAGCCTATAAATACCTCCATGTTCCTTGTTTGTAATCACCTTGAGTATTTGAAAAAAACACAACTATAACATTCCCCAACCTTTCTCGTTCATCCTTTGCTTTCAAGATTTTCATTCTTCAACATCAAGCATCTACTTTCTCAACAAATGAGGCTTGCTTAGAATCTTCCAACAAAAAAGGTATAAGTGCCACGCAAGTTAAAAAATAGCCCCATGATAGTTGGTATTAGAGCAGGTTCAACCTTTGTGCTTAAAGGAAGGTCTTGCACAATGGCAATTGAGGAAGAAAATGTTGTTGGCATGGAGATATAAGAGCAAGCCCATGCATAAGAGGAGCAAACTCAAAGTAAGTGTAAGTGAAGCAAAAGTAAGGTTCCAACAGGTGAATCTCTTAAGCCTCGTGTTGCTAGCTTGGAAACTCATGAAGAATGTGAAAACTAATGTAGAAAAACTCGATGATTAATTCAGTAATCTCATATAAGAGAACGCTGAGGCAATACATGTTGCCAAGTCCATGATTAATGAAAATAGATAAATTAGTGTATCTTAATCTAGGGTCACAATAGACAATGGCCTCAGTTTTATGCGTGAAAAAGCGCGTGCAATCGGAAAGCTTATCGAGTTGATGAGGCTATGGAATAACTCAGTTTTGACGGAACCAAAAATCGATAAATTAGTGTACTTTAATCCAGGGTCACAAAAAACATCTTCTAATTTGATTTGATTAAAAGTCCGACAATGGCCTTCTAAACCCTTAACACACTACTTAGTTACAGTCAACTCGTTATGAAAATGACCGTGGCTTTGATCAAATAAAGCAGAATATATTCAATCAAATAAGAAGCGCTATTTATCATATCAATAATTATGCTATTACCAACTACTGGAAAATAATCTTGAAAAAAAATACATGTTAGATCCGCATACCAAACTCTTTATCAGTTATGACTATTCAGAACAAACAGGTGTTCGGACATATATAGTGGGTGATTATTCATGCTAGACATTGCAGATTCTTAGGCATACAAAGGCTCCAAATACAGCTATAAGACGACCTTGATAGTTGAATCCAAACTCCATAATTAATGCTTACCGTTAATGAATATGATCTTGATCTCAGGCATCTTCCAGCACCAGCAGGTTTATCCTGTTGCGAGAAATTGACAAGGAGATTCAGAGGATATGATGACACTAATACGGAAAAGAAGGATTTTTAGTGACCATCTTTGGCACTTCATTGGTTTTGTAAATTAGAAGACTCTTCTTACTTTCATATTAGACCACAAATTAAGAGTAGTTTACCAAGTAGCAGAAAAAGAAGATGTCCGCTCAGTCTAATATATCAATTCCAGATTTCCACGCGGCAAAATTTCAAAAATTCTTGGTGCCTTCTCGGGATTTGTAAATACGATATGCAGCTATGCACATTGTAGCATTACCCAGAACGGTAAGTGCTGCTTGAAGAGCCACCAGCACCTGCAATTCATTTGAATCCGGATCACTTTAGACTTTCTACCTTAATTTCATTTAATCGGATTAACACAAGATGAAAGTACCATGACTCCACATTTGTTACGTAGCTAGAGGGTCTTGTCAGAAGTCATAACAAAAACACAAACCCGACTCAGTAGTTCAAATGAAGCAACTTAGGTCGGGAAGTACAGATGGCCCATGAGTTTATTGATGGAGAAGTTAAGGAGCAGGTTCAAGCTAGAAATAAAGTTGGAGGGTGAAAATTGCGATAAACTGTGAACATTCTGAAGTTTGGATGCAGAGTATAATGACCATGTGCTGCAACAAACGATTGGCCAGAAGGCATCTTTCCTAAACTAGCACATATATAAAAAGCACTGTCCAGACAAATACATAAAACTCTGCATCTTTAGATAATGATTATTTGTGATGTAAATTGACAAGTTCATCGTTCCATGTTTAAACAAAACAAGATCCTCTCAGTTAAAAATTTAAAATAGACCTATCATGAACAATTTTCCGACTACAGGGTACAGAATTTTTACATGAGGCGAGAAAAGCCTTCCTACCTCCAGGGACTCAGAGTTATAAAAGAAATGCCATGTGCATGCGCAAAGTGCTCCACCTAGTAGAGGTACCTGCAAGAATCAGACATCATCTAAGTAACTTGTCTCAACCTTACACTGAAGAATAAAGACATCGTCTAAATGAGAATAGAGATATGAAAATCCAAAAGATCTGATGAAGGAAAATGAGGGAAGGAAATATTTGAATAGGTCACAGAATATTTATATGACATGAGGTAATTGCTAGATGATAACAAACAGAACAACATCGAGCTTAATTTTCTAAGCATACAGATCTAAAGCTTAATTTTCAAGAAACGCAAGTAAAATAACTGAAGCATTTGAGGACTCCTTAAAATGAATGTATAAAATAGTGATAGAAAAATATCATTTACTCTTTAATCGCATAAAAATTTTGTTGAAACGTGCAGCCTTTTGCAAGGCAAGGCAATGGAAGGAATTGCAAAATAAGAAATCTTACCATACCCCATGAAAGCCCCTTCCAAGATTCATATCCCGATCTCTCTCCGTACTTCCACACCAAAGCCATGGCTGAAATCCTTTCAATAGAAAACAACAATCAGGAACTTGACCCAAAACAAATTATTTATTTTCATCGTTAGAACTTGGAACATATTAGAGTTTAGACGAAACTACCCACTTGAATTGGGTTTAGTTCTGGTAACTACTTCACCAAAATTATCTATAGCACTGAACTCTTGAATGTTAGTATATCAAATCATCACTGGTTTTTGGGAATAAGAAGCTAATAAAGAAATCGATACTAATATTTACCTGGAGTATACAAACAAATACATGAAAGTAATCTCACCACTCAACAACACTGGAGACGTGCACGGTCCATGTGGGCAGAGAGAGAGCATTGGAGGGTTCATCCAGCTGGAGTGAAGATCCGAGCAAAGGAAGTTCCAGAGATGAGGCAGGTTCCGCGAATGCGAAGAGCAAACCCACTCCGAGTAGAGCCGCCTTGGTCCTGGGGTTCCGAAATATATCAGAAACAGCCTGAGTTGGAGCTGCAGGTGCAATGAATTTTGAATGGGAAAGGCAAGAGAAATGCGTCTGCGTGGGAATTTTCGAAGTGCAGATGAGTTTCGGTAAGTAGGAGGCAACGACGGCCATGGTTGGGTTGGGGTTTCAGTGGATTGTGGGCTTCTGGGGGTAATGCTATCCAAGGATCAAACCCACCAGAAGAGGATCACAAATGAGAAGACAAGCACGATTTACGCAGGCGTTTTGAACTTTTAAGTGAAGGATAAGTGGATAACGCTCACTAATTCACAACATTCATGATTCATGGAGTCGCTCCTGACCTCCTAATTATCCATTTGTCATAAAACCAGGAACGATTTTTTTGTTTAAACATTACGTGGAGTTTGAATCCAGATTTCGACCTGTGTCTTCGTGTCATTTTAAATTCGTCTGGGCTCTATTTGCTACAGCATCAGTACCAATTTATAAAATATTTTTAGATAAAATTATGTATATTAATAAAGTTATTTAAAAACATTTCTTAGCAAAAACATTAAATAAAATTATAAATTTTACAATCTCATTTTTTTTAAAAAAATATAAACTTTTAAAAATACTATTCATTTAATACTCTATTTATAAAAAATATTAAAGAGAGAGAATGTAATAAAAAGATAGTATTAAAAAGAATTACGAGTGTTTTTTGCCACTTAATTTTACCCGAAGGGTTATTGGACATCTTAAACTTAATTATGAGTCAATTTTATTTTTTAACATTAAAAATTTCCTCCTTCATCGCCTTATCGTTAACTCATCATTTATTTACCATTAGTGGGCCCCGTATTACATCAACGGGATCCTAAGTTTTTTAAACTCACAACATTATAACCGATTATTCATTCAATAAAAATTAAAGCTAACACTTCTATGAAAGCATGAGAATTCGATTTGCAATAATACATTTGCATTATAATAGAAAAACATTATTTCAACAAAAAGATAGAGGTTTTCCGTGACACGTTTGCCTTTATGCCATATATTATGATGCATTGCACGTATTTTACTGCAACAGAGCTCTCAAATGATAGCTTTGGAGCAAACTTTTTATGTGCCTTATTTCTTTGTCTAACATCTAATTGATGTGGTCTATGTGTTTAAAAAAGCTTTCTCCGTGCTCTAACTAATGGTACTAATTTCACATTCAAATCATTTCTCAATTACAAGTTGAACACCTATTTCTAATCTCACTTCTTTATAAAATTTCCCAATAACTTGGTTGTCCAATATTCAACTAAGTGCCAAAAGCTCTTGCTAACCCATATATCACAATTAAAGAACTACATAGGACTCATGTGATACATCATGACAACCAAACAACACATCTCACATTTTCAATGCTTTAACCCTTTGATCACAAAAAATATAAGGGGGAGCTAAATTCTCATAAATCATCATGTAATTCACAATACTCATATATTTACACATCCCACTAGTTATACTAATATTTTAGCCCAATAAAACCTTACAACCACAACATAAACAATACAAGGCACAAAATACATATTCAAATCAATTTCTCAATCAATATGAGTAATCAAAACTCACATGAACCTTATCAATAGAATACACATAAATAAATCTACAAGACCTACTAATAGGATTTCAACAGAATTCTATGCCTCTTGTAACATCTCAATTTAAATTTTAATAGTTAATTTGGGTTAATAGAAATTTTAAAAAATATTTAAAGGTAAGTAAATTAGTAAAAAATAATTATTAAATCTAACTTAGGATATCATTCTAAATTAAAATTAAAAAATTAAAAAATATTAAAAAATATTATTAAATTATTATTATTATAATAAAAAAAGGGAAAAGGTCAAAAGAAGAAGAAGAAGAAGAAGAGAAGGAATGGATGCTTTCGACGTTTTTGCGTGCCATCATTACATATATATATATATATATATATAATAAAAAAAGAAAGAAAGAAAGAAGAGAGAGGAAAGAAGAAATAATAAAAAAATATGGGACCCACTGAATTTTTATAAAAACTCACCTGTTTCCTTCATTTTTTCATTCATTCCTTCGTGCGCGAGCTGAGGCAGAGTGAGCGTGAGTCGCCGATGCGGGAAATCTGAGTTTTTAAGGTAAGAGTTTTTAATAGGATATTTAGGGTGTGATTTCAAGTTTTTCAAGACTAAATAAGTGTTTTAAAATTTTTTCTTAGTCATCATTCCTCTTTGGTTTCTGATTTTATGATGGTAAAAAATTTAGAATTTGGAATAGGGATGAATTTATATTGAATAAATATAGTTTTTGAGGTTGTTAGTAGTATAATAAATGTTCTAGAGTATAAATTTGTTGATAATCTTTGAATTTGTGGCTTATGAATCAAATTCTAAACTAGATCTAAAAATATAAGTTGATTTATTGAGGTTTAGATGATTATTTAGGATGAGAAATGAATTATTATGGTTATAGGATTATGATTCTAAGCTAGAGACTCAATTTTTAATTTTTAGGTATTTTAGGTGCGAATTTATAAAAGAAAAAGAAAATTTTGAAAATAGAAATTAGTTTAAAATTTAATTTTTAAATTATTAATGTTTATTGATGAGTAAAAGAGGAGTTAAAAATTTTACTTAATAGTATTAACTCTAAATTTGTATTAAGATTGAGATTAAAAATTATGTTATATTTTTTAATTCTATTATTAGAATTATTTTATTAGTTTTAATAATTAAAACTAATATTTATAAATAATATGTTATTTGTAGATTGTGTTATTGGTGAAGATTGTGGTAGGAGAAAAATTTATAAGGAATAATTTATTGAAAAAACCACGAGGTAACCATGCTTTTAATTTGTGATTAGTGTTACTTCATGTTAATTGGGTGATTATTGAGAAAATTATGAATTTTGTAATATTGTATAATTGTGCAATATTATCATGAATTTATTTGATTATTGTGGGAGGTGTTGGGAGACTTGTTATTGTTGTTGTATTTATGTGCCACGTGGTACGCCCCTATTGGAGCTCAGTAGGTGGCTTGTAAGGGCTCGGGCTAATCTACCTTTGGCCAGATAATTTAGTACCGAGTGAGGGCTACAGCTCGAGGTTAATGGAATGATATAAGGATAGTTGTTTGCGTGTATTGTAATATTTCTTATATTTGTTGGAATTATATTATTTTTAATTCTCACTTAATAAGCACACACTTAACTGTTGGTATATACTATCATAAATTGGCTTTGGTTACTGGGACTTTTGAGTCTCATTATGTGGTTAACAATTTTTAGGAGAAGAGCCACGAGTGACACATGGAGGAGTCCCAGAGGCTTAGTGGCATAGATCCACTGTCTCTTTTGGGTATTTGATTTATGATTTATAATGTGTTATATTACCAATATTAGAGCTTTTTGTTTATTGACAATTATATGAATATATAAATGTAATCATGCCTTTCAAACTATTTTTATTTTTGGTATAATTTGAATGACTGTAATTTTAATATTTAGTTTACTTTGGATTGATTAAAATGGCATGATTATGAGGCCAAATAACTGGCTTGTGTTGAAAATTGACTAAATTGTTTATTTTACTTGTTGGGAGTATAAGGATGAACAAACGTGATTTAGCTTAATGGCATGTGGGAGGTAAAAATGTATCTGAAATGTTATATTGTGTGAGTTGAAGCCAATTATAAAATATTTTATATTAAAATTATTAATATAAAAATGTGTTGGGTGGCTGTAACTCAACTATGATTGAGTTAAATTATTAAAAAAAATTTGGTGTGTTACACCTCTTGTCTTTTCCCTCAATCTCGATCAGAGAAATTAACCCCTGCAATATTGAAGTGAGATGTGAGTACAATCACTCAGTAGCAAAAGTTAATATAGTCTATACAAATACGTGTCAATTAATTATATATGAAACTAGAAATCATACCACATTTACAAGTATACTTACTTTTCAAAAGGTTACCATGACCACAATACTAATGACTATGTGGTCAATGTAACACCCTAAATTTTAACACTTATTCTTCAAAAATTAATAATTTGGTAAACTATTTTAATAATTTTAAACTCTTACCATCATAGAAAAAGAATTATAAAAATATTTCACAAGTAGTCCACCATAATAAAAAGGATCTATTATAGTAGAAAGATTCAAACATAATAAATTTACTTTACCATAGTAATTAAGAAAAGCAATCATTAAAAACTTCAAGTATACACCCTTAGTATAATTTCAAAGCTATAGTCAATTGAGCTTCATTCAAAAAAAAAAAGCTATAGTCAATTGAGTAACATTTTACAAACTATATTTTTATTATAAATACCTGACTTGGGCCCCAATTTATGCTTTTTCAAACATTGATTACCACAAAAAACTATCACATAGGAGCATACTTGATCAAAATTTTACTTCACAAACACCCAGGGTCGTGAGAGACAGATAGAATTTTCTTGGCATATAAAGTACAATAATAAATAAAGTCTACATATTTAATATATATATATATATATATATCTCCCCATTATAGGTTGACGTAATATACATCATTAATGAAAATAAAGAGATTGAATTAAAAAAACGATATCTCATATATCAAATTATGCCTCAAGTACTTCTTAGGCCAAACTCGCTCCTGAAAAATTAATAACCACAGGGAATAAAATTTAAAAGTCCCAATAATCAAATATTAATATGTAATAATGTGCATAACACAATTAATCATGCGATTGCTAAGTAAGCAAATAAAACAACAATCCAAACAATTATTTTATTAGCATAACTACACCTTATATTCCTCCTTACGTCATGCTCAAACGCCAAGTCACATAGCCAAAGTTGAATTGAACCAAGTTACAAGCCACATATTAGTTTCAATGAGGGCTTATCACATGGTAACTCAACCATACAAAAATTCCTATCATACAATTTTCAATATACTCAGACCAATCATGCATTTACAACAGCTGAACAAAAATCATTCAGCACATTTTTATATCAATTAGACAATTTAGTAGAGTTAGTAGAGTTCTATGACTTGTCTTATTTGGAGTTCAATGATATGATTTGTGATGAAGTTTAGTGATTGTGTTTAATAGAGTTCAGTGATTATATGACAAAGGAGTTCAATCATATTATGTGTTGTAAAGTCCAATAATGCACATTAAATGTAACTGTGTGATGATTATGTGTAATGATAGTACAATGGGATAACTGAACATGCTTAGGTAGTGAACACTTACATGTTAAGGGTTATAGCATATTTATGCATTACATGATCATGAGAGGTAGGGGTTCGTCTACAAAGAGGAGTATAGAATTAAAATTCACGAAGTAAGACTTCCATCAAAGCACGATGGTTAGCCTAAATTTATCATTCATATTTTCTCACCTGTTAAACGATAGACTGTCATACTGGTTCAACGAGGGATTCGAACCTAGCTAGTTATTCACTTGTCCAATAAAGAGGCTAGTAAAGGAAAAATGACACTCTATAGTGTGAGAAAATAGAAAAAACTGTGACCCATTAGCAAGTTGAGAAACCTTGGCTAAGTAGTCTCTCATGCGTGTTTTGGTTAGGGTAGTCTCAGTTTACGGACAATCCTAATGTATTATAGATCACAGTTTTGTGTCAAAGGAAAAATGAGGATATAAAGAAGGTGTGATCATCATATAGAAATAAAAGAACTCATAGTTGTCTGTATTATAACTCTAGTAATGAAAAAAAGCATGAGATTAGTATTATATCTATGTGAAAATGTGTTAATAAGTCATTATCTTATGAATATATGCTAATATGAATGAAAATTGTGATTAGTGTTTCTTGATCATGCTAAATGAATTGAAAATAATATCTTGCCACTTACATTTAAATTGATTGATATGTATTAGCATGAGTCAAATGAACCTTAGTTATTGAGTGGTTGTACTCACTTTACTATCTTCAATATTACAAGAACTAGCTCAAGGGGACAAGATAGAGGAAAATAGCCTAAAGTATAGGATTAATATCCTATTAGTAGGTCTCCTTTTCTTTTTGAGTATTAATGTGTATATTCTTACATGATATTGCCAACTAAAGATAACTCATATTGTGACTTACTTGCAATTTGTATTTTGTTAAACTATAAAGTGTATTTTGGGCCCAATGGCTGTATATGTATTGACTATGAGACCTATAGCAGGGCTAAAAAACTAATACAAGTAAGATTTATATACGGTACTTAAATTTATAATGATTAATTGATGAAAATTATAATTGGAGCTCCCTTTATTATTTTTTAGGTTAAAAGGTTGAGCGATGAAAAATATGTCTCATGTGTATTGATAGCAACGTGGTACGTTGCACAAATCCATTTTGGTCTATTAAGTATGGTCTAGGTGGTATTTATAGCTTTTAGCTTTTAGTGGGAATCTTGGATACTCAATTTTTGAAAAGGAATGAGTTTTGAAAAGAGTGTCCAACTTTTAATTGAGAGATAAATTGATTGTGAAACTAAAGTCATTAGCTAGATCTAAGAGAAAGCTCTCTATAAACACCTAAATCACATTAATTGAATGTCAGATGGAGAATTAGGATATGTCAAGAGTTCACTCAGTTGTTGTCAAATGACAGCAAAATCTATTATCAAAATCATGCAATGTGTAGTAGTGCATGGCACAGAGGCTCATGAGCCACAGCAGGTGGTGACAAGCCATGGCACATGCCTCCCTTTCTTACACTGTTTTATTGTTTTTAAATTTTAAGCAAATACCTTGATTCTTTTTGAGATCCCATGCTTTTATAAATCAATCAAACTCTAATTTTTTTTTCTGTAAAGATCTTTTAGGAAGTTTTGAATATTGAAAAATTGAGATCCTAATTGTATAATTTGACAAGTTTGGTAATTATCATAATATTTAGAGACCACAAAGGATCAATAAGAGTAACTTTACTTATCTCTCTTCCAGTTTGACATGGTACACACCACAACATGTGTCACAAAACCAAACTCTTTTGAGTTTCTCATTTTTTTATATCCAGGTGACCCAACTTTACATTGAATTTGAATCTAGAGCTAAAACCACAACAAAAAATATTGGTTAGACGTCTTTAGCCACACACCATGCTAATTTACACTTAATCTCATTAAATTTAACTTAATCCTAGTTTATTTTTCTAGGATGTTGCATTGCCCATGGGTACGATGCATATGATTTGGTGTTGGCCTGTCTTTAAAGCCAGATGTTCTGCAAATTACAAACCTTTTTGCTTGGTGAATAAGTCTATTTGATTCAGAGAGCCCTCTCTTAGATTTTGACTTGGTTCTTGTTTGTTGGATTTTATGACTAACTTAGAAACCTAAAAATTGTTTGATTTTTTAATGTATCCAACCTAAACAAGTAGAATTTAATAAAAGCGATGATTAAATTGCATTTGTATTTGCAATGAGGATTTTTTCTGTCCCTCTTAGTCATTGATTTAATTGATGAAATGTTTAAGCATTGAAAATAGTGCAAAAAAGCATGTTTTGTGATTGGGAATATTACTAATTACAACTGAATCGTGGACTTCGCTTAGATAACAAGTTAGATTAAGGAAAGTATTGTTTAGGCCCAATAGAGCATTACTATTTAGATTTGTCATTTGGAAAAAATATTTGTATCCAGTTAAAATCTAGTATCTGCTTTCATAGGTATACTTACTCGTATTTGAAAATCCTCATGAGTAGCGATATATTATTTAAAATTATGCCACCTTGAGAACCATGCTTCTATGTTCGTTGTGAATTCAAAATAACTATTAAATTTTAAATATTGGTTATTCGAAGGGGAGGTACATTTGATATAGCTATTATTTTAATTATCACGACAGAGTTAATTTATTATGTTTAATTTTTTCTATCATGATAGCTTATTTGTGAAAAGGCTTTAATGCAAGTAAAAATCTTCCTTACCATGGTAGGTTTGCAAAAGTATGTCTTTCCCTTGTTAACATGGCAAGCTTTTTTTTACCATGATAAATGTTGAATAATTTATTAGTTTGCAAAAAATAAGTTCAACATTTTAAAGTATTACAAGTGGCGACCTACTTTGAGCAAGCAACAAGTTAGTGAAACAGAGGAAGAGACAAATTGAATGGCATGGAGAGTAAGAGTGAAGTGAACTAGACCATGGCATCGACGAGTAAGTTGGCTTACTATGACTTTGAGTTAGAGGCGACTCGGTGAGTGTGGATGAGAGGATTATAGCATTTTCAAAAAGGGAGGGTAAAAGTTAAGGCATAATTGTCGGGGGGAGGGGGGCCAAAATGAGTAATCAAAATCAAAGCCCTCTGCTAGCTCCCCACCAAAACAACACAACAAAAACATGTTCACCCCACATATTTTTTTTTTTTATTTTTACAACCTTGAGTTAGGTTAGGCACATTTGTCCAACACCTAAACCCTAACCCTACCTCTCATTGATAGTTGAACTCAACCCAACCATGCTAAAAAAATAATTGAGCAGCTTTTCCTTCATTAAGGTTGGGCATTTTTTGGTGGGGTTAGGTTGGGTCAGAAGGATTGAGTTTTCGAGTATATTGAGCATCTCTAGTTAGCCTCACACCCAAAATTGCACCTATAAGATCATAATATGAATTAAATATAATAGCCTTTTATTCCCAATCTTCCCATGAATAAAAAAAACTTCAAGCTCCATAGACAACAAAACATCAAGTCATTTTAAAGTCTCAAGATTAAATGGCTTAATCATCTAATTGTTAGCCATTTACTTCTTCCATTTAAAAATATAAAATATTTTTAATTAAATCTCACCCTCAGTAAAATAATTACCTACTTTTCAATTAATCTTTTTTTATATTCATCTTTATTAAACATTTTATAATAAATATAAAGTCATTATTAAGAGGGATACATTTGAAAAAAAATAATGATTACATCTCGAAAAACTAAAAATGTCTTATATTTTTTAACATTTAACTCCTTAAAATGGAAGAAATATTTAATTTTCAAAACCCATCGCTTATAATTTATATACACATCAATACTGTCAGCTTATATATATATATATATATATATAAACGATCATCAATTAATAGGAAAACACATTCTTGATAATAAATATAGGTATCAATAAAAAAGCGATGAAATTTAGAATATGCAACATATGATGAAGTTAAGAAAAAATAGAAATCACTTACAACTCCAACACAAACAATCTAGATATAGTAAAATTCCCTAAAATTATAAAATTAGTTTGAAATTCAATGTCTTTTAATCACGTTTGGAAGTTGTTTAGCTTATAATTAAATAATAGTAATAATTAATAATTAAATAACTGTAATCGATAACGTGAAGTCGTGAACAAAAGATAGTACATGATTTTGAAATAAAACTGTTTTTTTTTTTTTTTTTCCCAATGAAGTAGTGGTCTTGATCTCTTGTAGGCTTGCGTTGCAGTAATGGTGAGGCATGACAAGCGAATAGCATTCCATCGCTCAAAAAAATCATCTGTGCCGTTGCACATCCGTCCTTGAAATCCGAACGATAGCATGGCGTGCCGCCTTGGCTGGATGCGCAAAACGACAGCGTTGAGTTCCGAATGATTTCTTCATCACGGGGCGAATAACACATAAATTCCTGAATCGGTGCTTTTGGGCGTCGTCACTGCATCTACCAGTCTCCGTTCTTGATTCATTTCTAATTCCTATACGTCTCCACCATCTTGCCATTATAGGTCGTTGCGCTTATGAACAAAATTCCCGTCATGTTTCTCTGATAAGGTGTTTTTCAACCGGTGGTTACAAGGAGGGAGCGTATTTTGTGCCACCGGCCTTTTTCGATGACTTACTATGGAGACGATGGTGGTAGGGCCGAGGTGATCCCGGAGCTCCCGCTCAGAATTTGCAATGATGTCGACAATGGGGATTACATAAAATTGAGAGAGGGCCCGGAAGATGCTGAACCGGAAACGGCGGTTGGTGAGGCGGCGGAGCCTTCACCGCCAGGGAGGGCAGGGTCTTTATGGTATTGGGTTAAATTGGTGGTCTTGTTTGTGTGCATAGGGCTCTTGGTCGCTGTATTCCTCAAGTGGATCGGACCCTTTTTCATGGATAAGGTTTGTTTTTGATCACTTGTGTATTCTTCTTGCAATCGAACTCTAGACGAACTTGACTGGCGTCAATTATTGTTGTGCTGTAATCCTTGTCCTTTTGGTTAGTCTTGGACTCACATATGCTTTGGGTATTGAGGCTCCCCCGCCCCACATTTTTTTCTCCATCAAAGTTTTGGCCTTTTGGGAAAGAAATCATGAATAGATGGTTGGTAACAATTGAGTACCGGAGTTAACTTGGTTTTTGCCATTCATGATTTCCGTCCTAGAACTCCTCTATGTTTATTTTTTCCGGGTTCAGTTGCTGTATAATTTTTTATTATGCAGGCTGGCTGCAAATCGTCACCTGAGGTTCTGTCTGGTTCAAAAATAATTAATTTCCTAGGTATATATCTGGAAACTATTTAAAAGACTGTTGGATATAACAAAAATGAAATTTTGTGATTTCGTATCTTAAATAATAAGAAAATATTTTTTTTGTAATCGATGTTAAGTTTAAATGTTTTATCAATATATTTACTGGGATCTGAGAAATTAGGATAACCACGTATATAGGCCACCTAAGGTGCTTGGTTTTCTATTATCCTGAATGTAAAGCACTTTGCTGTGGAATCAACCTCAGTTTATCCAACTTGGTTTGATCATGCCCCCATGTGTGCCTGACGAATGGGTTTTAATGTGTAGAAAGTGCTGGGACGGTGTCACTTTGTACGGTATGGAGTGGAGTATTTGGATACTTGTTGTCTGGATGAACTTTGGCGACTTTACAGTTCAATTTTACCTCTTGGCAATACGAATTGTATTTGAAATGAATAAAACCCTGTGGCTGCGCAGTTGAATTTGTTTCCTGTCTTGTAATTGGAAACGCTTATTTTGACTGCTGCTGGCTAATGGATCTTATATTCTTGTTGATTGCCCCTAACGCGAGATATTTGGAACTTCAGTGCATTGATATCTAGGTTGACTTGATTTCTTGCAGTTGCAGAAACTGATTGAAGCATTAGAAAGTTCACTGTATTCTTTTGCCCTTGTCTGATTATATTGTTATTTTAACCTACCTCATTATTTTTTCTTCCCAGGAGATCATTCCAATACTAATCTGGGAGAGAAACACGTTTAGCATTCCCGTGTTAACTGTTCTACTATTTGCTTCCATAGCATTATTTCCAACCCTATTTTTACCATCTACACCTTCTATGTGGGTAGCTGGGATGACATTTGGTTATGGCTTTGGCTTCTTGCTGATAATATCTGCAGCATCTGTGGGCGTGTCACTCCCTTTTTTCATTGGTTCAATCTTCCATCAAAAAATTCAAGTACGTGCCTTGTTATTAATCAAGTTGTTTTTTTTTTTTAATACACTGTCTACATGTCTAAGCTGACTAGGATCCAACATTTTACATTATATGCAGGGTTGGTTGGAAAGATATCCTAAGAAAGCCTCATTATTAAGATCTGCAGGTGAAGGAAATTGGTTTCATCAATTTCGAGCAGTTGCTTTAATAAGGATTTCTCCATTCCCTTACATAATCTACAATTACTGTGCTGTGGCTACAAATATTAAGTATGGACCTTACATAATGGGATCATTGGTGGGAATGGTGCCAGAAATATTTGTTGCAATCTACACGTAGGATCTCCCTCCCTCCTTCCCTCCCTCTCACCCTCTGTGTCTGTATCTATGTGTGTGCACGAGTGTAGCTGTGTGTTTGACCAACTTTGTTTATTGATTACTACATGAGTTGCTTCTCTTCCTCTTTGCATGCCTAGAGTTGGGCAGTTTTTGGAATATCTGATATCCGCTTGTAAAATGTGTTCACATACATGGGTAACCTTTGTCTTCCTCAATTTGTGATGTCCATGCCCGATCACTATTTAAATTTTATAGCTATCTTGACCCGGACTTGGCTTTGACATGTATACATTCTTAAGCCTCCCATTAAATTTCAAAGATTACATTTATTTATATTTGTCTTGATACAGCTATCAGTTGTTTGAACAAGTTGATATGCTTTCAATACTTGATTTAATTGGTAGTTCTGCAAATTATTTATATTGCTTTTCCAAGTTTTTATTATTTCCCTTGTTGAAATATGTTGCTTCCTTGGCTATGAGGTTTATAAATTACCATCAATATTTCATTGGCAAATGATTTAGTTAAGCAGCTGTTGTGAAATTGGTTGAATTGTAGAAAAGATTTGGTAGATATCTGCTTCTGTGTCTTTGTAGTTCAGTGTTATTCCTGAATCTGGGAAGAAGTGGATTTGGGAGTAGATATCCAATCTATCCTTAGAGTCTTAAAAATTATGGTAAAAAAGAGATTGTCCTCACATCATTTTAGTTTTGTAGGTGTGAGGTGGCAGACCACAGGAGGCTTTTGATTTTTTCTTTTGTTTTCTGTTTCTGATTTTTTTTGAATGCCAATGTTTCCAACTAAACCAAGTATTCTTTAATGTCAATGGTTACTAAGGGTGATTGTTTTTACTGTCATTAGCTTATACTTTTTGATTCACATCCACTGTTGCTTCATAAATGTACTCTTCAAAATGATTTCATCTCCGAATGTGTTGTCATCTTCACTTTAGTTCTCATGTTCACACACCTTTTTAAATTTACTTTACCATGGGAAATATATTGGGCATGTGAATTGGTTCTCCACCTTTGAGGCTATGACAATGAGGAGGACGCTTGATTTGCTGAGAGGCATTGCAGCATCTATTCATATTTAGATTAGATATTTTCCCCAGTCCTATGAACTCGAGGGATAACTTCAAAGTTTATCAAAGACTGCTCCTCTTTTTAACAAACTTGATTCAAATATGTGGATAAATGTCGAAAAAATAAAAACAAAATCACACGGTTCAATGAATGTGTTGAGAAAGTTGAAAGAGGAAAAATAAAGATTGTATGGAGTCTTAGAGAAGTTACATTGTTTATGACTTGTTAACAGTGTGACTCCTTAAAGATTTCATATTGTATGTTCTCATTTAGTATTAGTTTGGATATGATTACTTGGGTTTGGTATTTCCAACTACTCTATCACCTTGTAGTGGTAGGAGAATGATCTGATTTCCTGCGTGGTACATAAATCAAATCTGTGGAACTGGTGCACTATGGTTTATAACTGTGTAGTTACCTGCAACCTGATGCGGTCGTGATGGAATCCTCTTGATGATTTTCAAATTAACATAAATCTTCTCCAGTGTAGGTCTAAGTAGACACTTTACACAGAAGAACAACGGAAAATGTAGCACACAAAAGCAAATGAGAATCTAGCTCTCCTAAACACAATGGAAAATGTTGGGACTAGTAAAGTGACTGACTGATCACCTGTAGGCCTAAGTAGATTCCTTCTACTTGTTCTGTCTCCTCCAAGTATTATCTCTGCTTTAGCCTGAGCAGGATGGCACGCTGAAAAGAAAGGGAAAACACAGTGACAGTGCAGCTTGTTTGATTGTTTGGAATGAAATTGACATTTTGACCTTACTTCTTCCTAGCGTAGAAAGGGTAAAGGTACTTTACATGTGAGCGAACGAGTAGGAGCATGACATGATTTGATGCTTGATTTTTACCAGCTAAAATACTGTTTGCTGTTGCTCTCATGGTTGATTCATTGTTCTTCCTCTTTTCGGCTTCCTCCAGACCCCCACCTTTGCAGGGTTTCATCTCTTCAACAATCATTTACCTAACAAGTGTTGTGACTTTACCATAATTTCATTCTTCTGTTTTTCATCTACTTTTCACATGTCTCTGGCTTTTTCTTACTGCAGGGGGAATTTGATAATGACTTTAGCTGATGCTTCACATGAAAAACACGCTCTATCTGCCCCTCAAATTATCTTTAACGTTATTGGTTTCTGCTTCACTGTGGCTACAACAATCTTCTTCACATTTTATGCTAAAAAATGGTTGAAAGAGCTGGGGAAGGAAGACGAGGTTTTGTTGCAATAATCCAGTAACTTGGCCTGGGTTTCGTTGACGTTCACTGCATGACCTGGACACCAGGTCATCTGCGCAGGTGGTGCTCAGTTGGGTGAGGTTTTATTTAAGCGACTTCATCCATGGGAGGAATTCAGCTAACACGGCTAACACCTATTTTAGTTCAGCATTTACATATCATTTTTTTTCTTTTCTTTTTGTTTTTTTTTTTTTGGGTTTGCTGAAATGGACTTTTATGATTTCTTATGCTTCTGTCTTGTATGATTGTATATGAATGAAACTACCATTTATGCTATTGATTGGACTCAGCCAAATTACTGAGAATCAAATACACAAAAGTTTCTCTCTCTCGTATAATTGACTTGTGAGCCAGCGGTTTTTGTTGTTAGTAGCCACTATCCAGATAAGATTGACCAATGATTATCCTTCTTTTTGTTGTCTCCGCGGAGCTTGACCGATAATGATCTAATTTCTTTACAGACCTCATGCATAACAATCAAAGCTTCTTTTACATTAGGTGTAAGCATTGTACTGGATGCAGTGATTAGACAAAAAAGCATGTTGAGAGTCAGACTGAAGGGACGTTGGAAGAAGGATGGAAGATTATGAAAAAGCCATTTTGATCCGCACATTGTTCTTATCCTACTGTGACGATTCCCTGTCACAGCTGAATGGGGCTTTTATTTTGGCAAATGAAGACTTCTTTCATATTAATATTATTTCCTCATAAAGAAAAGATTACGCCGTGCCTTCAATGTTTTGACTACTTCCCAAGGGAAAGTTAAAATAAGAAGAAAAAGGTCTCGTCTCATCGACACTGATAATTTACAACGGTAAATAAAAAAGGGCTCTCGCAATTATGGTTCTGCACTTTTTTCCTCCTGCGTGTCTAGTTTTAGTTTTTAACAGTATACTTTGCTTGGAGCAAAATGAACAAGTCCAGATGCAAGGACCTGAGTGATATATACTTGTTGAATACTAATTAAGAGGTCGTCAGCAGATTACAAAACAGTCTCGAGTGATTGTCTTTGCGCGGAGAGTTGAGACTCAGTTCAGCAGCTGGTCACGTGACATCATGAGATTCCAATTCCATGCCATTACAAGTGGGAACGCTTGAGGGGTTATCACCCATTCGCGTTAGTTGGCCCCTCTCTTTATTTTCATGTTGCAACCTATTTACCATTCAACACCATAACTAACGAAATAATATAATCTCTTCATTTAAAAATGTAATATATTTTTTAAAAGGTTAAATATTTAAAAATATAAGACATTTTAAATTTTTTAAAGTGTAATTATTATTTTTTTTTCTAAAAGTAATTATATTAAATAAATTACTTCATATTTTTTTAGGGTAAAACACTTTATTAGTAAATAAGAGTAAATATAAAGAGATAGAATTAATTTAAAGATAAGTAATTACTTTATTAAAATAAAATTAAGTTAAAAATATTGTACATTTTTCAACGAGAATAGTATTTGTTTTCCAGCTTTCTTGGTTACTCCTGCTTGTTTTATGCCTAGCATTCAACATGGTGAGTGTACTGCATCAAAATCGAAAATTATTATTATTATTTGTTTGTTATCTTTAGGCCTGGTTCGGTAAATAAATTTCTGGGAGGGGGGAGTACTTTTGTGAGTGTGAAATGTTTTTTTATCTCTTAACCAAATAATAGAAAAGTACTGTTTAATGATAAAAAAATCATTTAGTTTCAATTAATTTCAGGAGTTTCAACTTTTACGACAATGGTATATGTAATGTATCTAAATTTTATAATCAAGAAACCAAAACCATGATGAAAAATAAGAATAGACCGAGTTGCGTTATTTGAGGGGACCAGTGGATCAACAGCGAAATCCCACTGGCATGCGCATAAGAAGTTTTGTTTTGTTTTGTTTGTTTGTTTTTTTTTTTAATAACTCTGGTATTCAATATATAATTAGATGTAAGTCGAGGTTCAAACTTCAAATAGAAATAATAATACAAGGTGTCTTTTTGGGGCCAAAATACAAGGCTGTTAAAGGGAGAGGGGGAAAAAGAAGAGTATTTTGACATCCATTCCGAACAAGGCATAGTGGCATAACATCACCGTCAGATACCGATGCGTTTTACACAGATTGTCGGCCTTCACTTGTGGGTGCGTGGTTGTATCTCGAGATTCTGTTTTCGACCGTTAATTAGGACTTAGGAGCAAAAGAGAGTACCCAAACAGAAAAACGCAGGGTCAAATATACAACAGACTCTTTGAACTTGGGGAAATAACGTTACAGATAGAGGTTATGCATTAAAGACAAGGACCCATCTTTCTTTTTCCATTAATCTAAAATGCCAACATTACCTAACACATCATCCAGAAGCATGAGACGAGAAGGACACTTGCTGAGTTTGGATTTTCTCACGCGTTAGGATATTCTCATGTTAATACGATATTTTATTGAAGAAACAATACAATAGTAATATTGATTAAAAACATTTTGTTTGCTTTCTATAATTTTCTCTCTAGCCACATCGTGCCTTGTCCGCAAATCACAGCTTGTAGAACCTCCTTTCGTGTAAGCTGAACATCACGAACGCATAGAATACATTATAAATGTTATGATGTGACTACTTTTTGCTTAAAGTAAGTGGTAATGAGAAGCTAACCACGACCAATTCCAACTAATAAAGTCCCTAATCAACGAAGCGGACAAAGGAAAACTCGAGCATACCCCTCCCAACCCGGAAGACAGTACAGGGAACAGATAAAACCACACTCCCCACTCTCTCGCACTTTTTGGTGTTTCATTTGTGTTGGGGTAGTAATTGCCGTGACGTTGACGGTGGTCTTGGTCCTGACTCAGTTGGTGGGGAAGAATAAATGATGATGATAATGGCGGTGCAGAGAGAGAGAAACTCAGACTCAGGCACAGTCTGGGTTTCCATTGTTAAAAGCGTATCATTGCATTGCTAGAGAGTGAGAAAGAGGGACGGCACTGGAGTGCACGTGGTTCAGCTTCAGTTGCTGGCGACCTCTTAAAATTTATTGCATTTTACAAAAACCATTAAAAAGGAAGTTTATTAAATTGCCTCTCGCTGTCTCATCTGTTTTCCTTCTAGCAAAGCTTCAGCATCCGTCTCCACTATTCTCATTTCATTTACTCCTACTCCCATTCCTACCTGCCTTCCATTTCTTCTCTCTCTTCATCTCTCAGCTCAACCTCATACTTTGTCACTCTCATTGCCCCCCCTCAACTATAAGATAATCACAGATCTTTGTTCTTTCAGTGACTGTAATTTCTGTTAATCCCATTTGAAAAAGGAAGGAGCTTGAGCAAGAATGATCCCTATTGGTCGTGATCGTGTCGCCGTGTTTCTCATTGAAATGGCATTTGCGAAACCTCGTTTACCGCAGCTGAGGAAACACAAGTTGTCGCACATTTGGTTCCAACTAAGATAATGCCTAACGGGTAAAGACGTCCCCCGACGGCCCCTTGTTTCGAGCATGAGAAGGCATCGTCAATTTCATCTTCCGCGTGCTCTCTTGTGCTCTGTTCTTTGTCTTCTTTCGTCTATCGCGGTCTCGCCCGTGACAGAGAAGGAGATTTTGCTTCAATTTAAGGGCAACATTACGGACGATCCTCAAAACAGTTTGAGCTCGTGGATTTCAAGTGGAAACCCTTGTGAAGATTATAGAGGAGTTTTCTGTAACCAGGAAGGTTTTGTGGAAAGAATCGTACTGTGGAACACTAGTTTGGCTGGAGTCTTGGCGCCGGCTCTGTCGGGGTTGAAATTTTTGAGGATTTTGGCACTGTTCGGGAATCGTTTTTCAGGGAAGATTCCGGAAGAATACGGTGACATTCACTCATTGTGGAAGATCAATCTGAGCTCCAATGCATTATCTGGCTCAATCCCGGAGTTCATTGGTGACTTAGAAAACATTCGCTTTCTGGATTTATCCAAGAATGGCTTCACTGGGGAGATCCCTTCGGCTCTGTTTAGGCACTGTTACAAAACCAGGTTCATTTCTCTTTCTCACAACAGTCTTTCAGGTATAATTCCGGCATCATTGGCGAATTGCTCGAACATGGAGGGATTTGATTTTTCTTTCAACAATCTAAGAGGGGGTATTCCTTCTGGGCTTTGTGATATTCCAAGTTTATCCTATATGTCCTTGAGAAGCAATGCCTTATCAGGAACAGTAAAAGAGAAGATTGTGGGATGCCAAAGTTTGACACTTCTGGATCTCGGAGATAATACATTCACTGGTTCAGCCCCTTTTAGCATCGTTGAGACGAAGAATCTTACTTATTTCAACGTATCATATAACGGTTTTAGTGGACAAATTCCTGAGATCCCTGCCTGTAGCGAGAGATTACAAATTTTTGATGCTTCAGGGAATGATTTGGATGGGGAGATTCCCTCTAGCATTACAGGATGCAAGAGCCTCAAGCTATTTGCCTTGGAGTCTAATAGGTTGAAAGGAACTATCCCGTTTGGGATAAAAGATATGGGAAGGCTGCTAGTTATTAAATTAGGTAATAATTCAATAAGTGGATCGATTCCCATAGGTTTTGGCGATATTCAGCTGCTTGAAATCCTTGATTTGCACAATCTAAACCTTGTCGGTGAAATTCCCAAAGATATAAGCAATTGTAGATTCCTTCTAGAGCTGTGAGTTTCTGACCTTATTGATAAACTGTTTTCCATTAACTTCAACACTCTGAATGAAATCTGAATATAGTGTTTTATGTTACTGCAGGGATGTTTCGGGTAATAACTTAGAAGGAGAGATTCCTCAGAACCTTAACAACTTGACAAACCTGGAAGTCCTTGACCTACATCAAAATCACCTCAATGGCAGCATCCCCACAAGCCTGGGAAACTTGTCAAAGATCCAATACTTAAATTTGTCACATAATTCACTTTCTGGTTCTATCCCTTCTTCCCTCGGGAATTTCATCAACCTGACACATTTTAATCTCTCATCTAACAATCTCTCTGGTGTCATCCCACCTATTCCAATCCTACTGAGTTTTGGTTCTTCGGCATTTTCCAACAACACTTTTCTTTGCGGTGCTCCTTTGGATACCCCTTGCTCTGTAAGCGGCACTATACCACAACCTACTTCTTCTGGGAAGCCTAAACTAAGTGTCTCTGCAATTATCGCAATCGTTGCTGCAGCAGTGATTCTTGCCGGCGTTTGTTTGGTGAGCATCATGAATATCAAGGCTCGTAGTAGGAAAAAAGATGAGCAGATGGTGATTGTTGAGAGTACACCCCTTGGATCTACAGAATCAAATGTTATAATAGGAAAGCTAGTTCTCTTCAGCAAAAGTTTACCATCCAAGTATGAAGACTGGGAAGCAGGTACCAAAGCATTGCTTGATAAAGAGTCTTTGATCGGCCGTGGATCAATCGGGACAGTCTACAGAACTGATTTTGAAGGCGGGATCTCAATTGCAGTGAAAAAGCTGGAGACATTGGGAAGAATCAGAAACCAGGATGAATTTGAGCAAGAAATTGGGCGAATAAGTAACCTTCAACACCCAAATTTAGTTGCCTTACAAGGTTACTATTGGTCCTCGACAATGCAGTTGATTCTATCAGAGTTTGTCCCAAATGGGAATCTCTACGATAATCTACATGGCTTCGGTTATCCTGGAACCAGCACTAGCAGCGGCAACAGGGAACTGAATTGGTCTAGAAGGTACCAGATTGCAGTTGGAACTGCCAGAGCCCTTGTCTACCTTCACCATGACTGTCGACCTCCAATTCTTCATCTCAACTTGAAGTCCTCTAACATACTCTTAGATGACAAGTACGAGGCAAAGTTGTCTGATTATGGGTTGGGAAAGTTACTTCCCATTTTGGACAACTACGGCTTGACCAAATTCCACAATTCTGTCGGGTATGTTGCACCAGAGTTGGCTCAGAGTATGAGACAGAGTGAGAAATGTGACGTGTACAGTTTTGGGGTCATTCTTCTGGAGCTGGTCACAGGGAGGAAGCCTGTAGAAAGTCCTACAGCAAACGAGGTTGTGGTTTTGTGTGACTATGTGAGAGGGTTATTGGAGACTGGCTCAGCTTCACTGTGCTTTGATGCGAGGTTGCTGGGTTTTGCGGAGAACGAGTTAATTCAGGTGATGAGATTGGGGCTTATATGTACGTCGGAGGATCCTTCAAGGAGACCAAGTATGGCTGAGGTTGTGCAGGTTCTTGAATCTATCAGAAATGGATTGGAATCAAATTAACCAGGCAGACCAATAGGATTTCCTTGCAGCAGAAATGGAAGGTAATTTGTGCATACAAGGTTCGGGGGATGAGGGCGTTTCCCCAGAAAAAGTGAAAAGACAAATAATTCTTTTGCATTCATTTTTAAATTACCATTTTTAATTTAAAAATTGTAATATTCGCAATAATAGGCATTTCTTTATTACATTTGCACCAAGATGATTTTATTAAAAAAATAATTCAAAGAGATCCAAATCTTGTGAATATAAAAAACCTCTCCGATTAGATTTGATTATATTTGAATTTAATCTGCTAATGCCAGATTCTAGATAGTTACGTTAAAAGTAGGCACGATTATTTCGTATTTTATATTTATGACATTAGTATTGCTTAGCATTGTCAAAATTGTATTGAACTAGGCAAAAAAACAAAAATTGTATTGAACTTCTAACTCGGTCAAAAAAAGTACTGTATCTGTTACTGGTTCAAACTTTTTTAGCCTTTTATTTTATTTTGTTTCATTTTATCAGCGAAACAGCTTCATTTTTTAGGCCTTACATTCTTTTTTCCTTTCTATATTCCATTATTATATAACCATTATTCTTATACGAATATATAACCATTAATTTAATTATACATTTGCTTAATAAATACTATGATAATAGAAAATTAACTTTTTCAATGGGGGATTATGGCTGAACATTAACTTGTTCATATTTAAATTATGGCTTTTTTGAATTTTAATTGAAAAAATTATCAGAATGTGATGAGGTTTGAATAAATTTTGAAAAATTTTGACAAAATTGGAGTTTGGATTTCTAAATGAATTTTTAAATGAAACAAAATTTAGCTTTTCTCAAATGAAGTTTGGGAAGGCGATTGGAATTTTGGAAAATAGGAGTGTTTGAACAAAAATTTTTAAAACCATAATTTTGAGGCTAGAATTGATTTTCAAGGTACGTCCAATTAAGGTTTTAGTGTTTTGACCGGGTTAATATCCGTTCTTGTTTTAAGATAATTGGAATTGAGCAAAACTTTAGTATTTCAGATGCTTAAATTTTGGTTTCCAACTTTCCATGAATTGTCTCAAGTCCACTTTCCACACGCTAATCCTTCCCTGCCTGACTGTCCTTTCGTGTTGTTTACAGAATCAGAATGATATTTCGATCCTTTTTTTTTTGGTAAAAAAAATTATTAACACTTGAATCACTTCAACATATAGCCTTTTTTTAACATATATTGATAATTTTTTTTTTCTATTTAAAAATATAAAATATTTTTAATTGAATCTTACTTTTTAATAAAATAATTACTTATTTTTAAATTAATTATATCTTTTCATATTTATTTCTATTTAATAAAGTATTTTACTCTAAAATAAATACAAAATGATTTATTCAATATGAACACTTATGAAAAAATAATTATTATTATATTTTAATAAATTAAAAATGCTTTATATTTTTTAACATCTAACTCTTTAAAATTTTTTTTATATTCTTCAATGAAAGGAGAATAATATTACTAACTCTCCTTGAAGTAAAGACTAAAATGTCAATAATTTTTTTTTTATAAAAGAGTTAAATGCCATTCTCCTTTCTTATTTATACTTGTTAATAAAACTTAACGAGTAAGAGCCACAACATCAATTGAGGTTGGAACTGTACGCACGCCACGCGCGGCAATGGTCTTGAAGAACACGTATTTCCCACAAAAGGAGCTAGACATTAGCACTGTGACAATTTTTCCCGGATCTCACGTGATCAAATAAAATGGCCGCAAGTTTCTGTTCGTGTCGTGAAGACTCCTCTCTCTCATTCCAGACTCACAGACTGGATGAATCTTAATTACGTGGGGACAACAATTATTCTTTCGGTCACAGCTGAAATCCGTTGTTTGATGCAATGGCATTGCCGATCCAAAGGAAACTCCGAGGATCAGTTCTACACAAATTTTGATGCAAAGGCATTACCGATCCGTTACTTCCCGGCAACTCACCGAATACCATAGCCCTTTATCATTCAATTCAACTGCCACCAAACTGCTTATTGTTGCCCCAGCAGCAGCAGTGTAAAACAGTTGTGAGCATCTTCAAAAGAATAAAGAATACATAATGTAGCAAAATTTACAGCAAACAATTGACGCCATATCAACTGTGGGATTTTGTAGCTTGGGAAATTCTCCGAATTCGTTCCATAACTACAGGGATGTCACTTTCGGTCAACTTAGTAAAACAAAAACGGAACCATCCTGGTTCAATACAGTGACAACAAGATCCTGGGGTCACACTGATTTTTGATACATTCAACAATCTATCCCACAGCTCAAGCTCTCCTTTTTCGCTGTAAGAGCGGATAAACTTACTCATGTCAGCCCAGCAGTAAAATCCGCCACTACTTTGAGAGCACTCAATTCCTAACTGCTTCAAACCGGCCACAAATGTATCATACATTTTCTGAAGTCTCCATCGATTAGTCTCGAGGAATTTTTGAACAAATCTTGGATCAAGAAGCATGGAGGTGAGCAATTGCTGGGTTGGCGCAGAAATGGAACAGAACCTTGCCAATTTTCTAGACGTGGCCAGGACATTCTCGTTATAAGAGTAGATAACACCTACCCTAAAACCTGGAACAGAAAGGTCTTTTGATAAACCATATACAATATGAACCCTGTCCTTGTCAACATCTTCTGTTTCCAGTATTTCTGCCAAGCTCACAAAGTCCTCATTACCATATGTAGACCCGGCAAATATTTCGTTAGAGATTATGTGGAGGTTCTTCTCTCTGGCATAGTCCAGAAGATTATATAATGTTTCCCGGTTCAACAGATTTCCAACAGGATTTGAAGGATTTGTTATTATGATTCCACGGACTTTCTGACCACGTTTCTTTGCCTGTTTGAAGGCTTGATCAAGTACAGTTATGTTTAAACTGAAATTATCAGTGCTACGGCAGGGAACAGGTACCATCTCCAGGCCAGTTCGCCATTTTATGTCCCTATCAAAGCTGCATCATGCGTTCAAAATATTCAGCTTCTTGCACCAAAGCAGGTATCAAAATGACGACTTTTCAGTTAGAAAATTGATAATTACCCAGGGCTATGAGGTGTAGGAACAAGAAATGCATTTCCACTATCTGCTAGGCAAAAGCTAAGAATTTCAAGTGCAGGGGTAGCACCTGTGGTTAGTACCACTTGAGAGGGGTTGAACAAAACTGGATTTTCCATAACTTGAGACATGAATCCTGCAACAGCCTGCAGGATTAGAGAATTAGGGCACAAACATTCTTAAGCTAAAAGTAGTCCCTAAAGATGTACATTTAAAATACGTCTGTCCCAAACTCAGACCAGATATTAAGCATTTATAACAGATGAAGTCATGAAACTCCACGCGGACACTTCGATGTGACAAATACTACGAAAGAAGACAAAGGACGGCAGAATGAGGCATCCATCACTGAGTAAACAAATTAGGCAAAAAAGAAATCTTTTTTCACATTAAAGCTGTTCTAATTAAATGAAGAGCGCATAATGCTAATATTTGTAATTTGCAAGACATAAGGAGACAATTCTAGTTAGTTTTGAAACAATTTTACTATTAAAGTAATAGTAATTTTTATTTTTTTTTAGCGAACAATTAATAAACACAACCCATACACCCACATGCCAATGCAGGTTTCAAAAGTTGGACTTCGTGCTCATAAGGAGATGACAATGCCACCAGGACAACTAGCTATTGGCAGGTGATAATAATTTTTTGATTCCATATTTTACTAGAAGTCTAAAACCACTAAATGAGTAACATTAAGGATTCACAGAGACAATCATATCAACATGTCTCCATCAGCTTGATGCCACATAAAACACATCTCACTCCTTTCACGGACCATCCTATTACCTTGTAAGTATTCTAACAAGTAACAAGTACCTGCAGCATTGACTCATTGCTGCCTTCTCTCAAGTGTTGCATTATTTAGATATACGTGTCAAATAATGCAGATCATCGAGTAGGGATTATTGCAATAACAACAACCTCAGAACATTCTCCATCCGAATTAATGAGGGACCCCTTTTCTATAATAACGAGTTCAAGAGGGACTTCATTTCAAAAGACAGAAAATAAACCCGCAGGTACGGAGGCACATCAAAACTTCGCAACTCATGCAAATCTTTACAGGGAAAAAAAAAAAAAAGAAGCCCAATTTCCATCGTAACGGTGACTGAATTCAAATTCAACCAAGTTTCATAGCTCAGAATGATTGCAAAACAAAAGGACTCGCTCTATTCACATTTCTGCCATGCGTGAAGGATAGTGACTAATTAGTACTACTCTGATCTTATTAATAAGTTACTTTCAACATATTTCATCTATATCAAGAAAAATCTTAAAACTCATTAATTCTGTCTTAAAATTTAATAAATTCTCAATTCTATCCCTATTAAATATACACATTTCAATAACATATTGTAAAAAATAAAATTTATGATGAAAATTTAATGACATAACTTATAAATATGACTAAAAGAAATTATTCCCTGTCTGCCTTGTAAAGAGGACCAAAAGAAGTATAGTTCAGAGATTTCAAATTGGACTGTACTTCTATGGTCATTTAAAAGCAGCAATAAACCAAGCCAATGACAAATTATATCATTTCGAACCAAGAGAAAGGCTCCGTCTGAATTACCGCTTTCAATTCCACCGATCCATCGTGAGGTTGGCACGCCGTAATCCCGCGGATATTCAACTCCCTGCAATCTTCGTGTCCTCTCAATATAGCCCCTCTCGCATTCTCCTCAAGCCAATCTTGAACCAAATCCAGAGATATCTACAAAAAGCAAGAAAATCCTCGAGCACATTTCTCAAAACAACTAAGCAAGACTATTGAAAGAGGAAAAGAAACCAGTAATGAGAAAGCAAAACAAAGAAGCACTCACCTTGTTTTCAGCCAAACCAAGCTGAATAACACCATTGGGATTATCGATTTGGTGGTATGAATCCTCGGCAAGCTTGTGCAGACCCAGGAAATAAGGAGAGTTATCGGCCTTAACGATGGAATTAGCCCGAGCAGAGAGATTCGGCAGGGAAAACGCACCCCTGGGAGATAGAAGAATTCGAGAAAGAGAGCGGGGCAGAATAGCGACCTCTGAAAGCTTATCGGAAGAAGAAGACGGCGAACACAGGGGAGAAGAAGTGGCGTCCGAAGAGGGGGGAGGAGGAGGGGAGTTGGGGGGAGTGCGATGGGGTCTCTTGAAGTAGAGCTGAAGGAAATAGAAGAGGGCACAAGGAATAACAGAACCCAAAAAGAGACCTCCTCTGCCTTGAACAACTCCCTGTAAAGGCACAATCACTCTCATGGCAGTTCCTCCACCACGACGACCCTGATATGGCCTGTTATCTTCCTCTGATTGCAGGCTCGATGGGTTCTGGGTCATTGTGGTTGCAGAACCATGAGGAGCGGCACTAGAACTATTGAATCGCTACGAGGTTTAAAGTAGGTGATTAATATAGATACGATGAAAATGGGCTTACAGACGAAGAGCACAAAGAAGAGACAGAAATTCTCGCATTGGAGAAGACGCAAGTGTGACGTGAGACGGAGGGAGCGAGAGGGAGGGAGACTAAAATTTTAGATTTCCAATCTGATTGCGTGCGCCGTTCTAGGCATTTCCTGATTTTTTTGGGGCCATCTCTATGTGTTTTTACCAAGATAACCTCTAAAATCTGCCGCTCATTTTAGTCAACTTTTTTAGATCGCCGTTCGTCAGCTCGCCACCAGCTCTCCCTAATTTCAATGCATTCCTGCGAAATCAATCATCGGTCAGTAATTCAACATACCATCAATTCACGCGGGAAAAAATAAATCAATACTCCCTCCCCTAATCCCATCGTGTATGTGCCAAGTGACTTGTAATTCTCCTTGGTCGCGCGTTATATGACAATTTAAAATAATATTACATGTATCAATAAAGCATGATAATAACAATCAATGGACGCTCGTTCGAATTGACAAGGGATTACGACCAACACTCTAAGGATAAGTGTTCGAATCTTTAAGGATAACAGATGTAATAATTAATACAATTCACAATATTTTAGGATTCCGAATGCGGAAGCAAAAAGCAAAGGATAATAACATTTTATAAATTCATTTATTTTAAATAAATCTATAAATTTTTAAAAATGCTTTTATACGCTTAATGATCACTGATATGTTATGATATTATTTCAATTTTATCTCTACTTGAATATTTAAAAAATATTATTAACAAAACTTTAATTTTTAAAATTATTTTATATTTTAAGACAATAAAATCTCTTTAAAATTATTTTATAATTTAGGACAAAAAAATAATATATTTTTTTATTGAAATCAAGAAGAGTTTAATATTCACACTTCTATTTAAAAATTTAATAAATTTGTAATTTTATCATTTTATCTATGCTATTAAATATGCATAATTTAATGTGAGCAGCGAGGAAATTTTTAAAATCAGTGAAAAAAATAACACATAAAACTAATTTTATTTTTGACATAATCAACCATATAAAATAAAATCAAGTTGCGAAAATTTTAACATTATTACAAACAAATGTCTCAAAATGATAATCCCTCTCATAGAAAATATAAGACATTTTTTAATATAAGATATTAAAAAATATAATGCATTTTGTGCAACTAATGAGAATTTTTAAAAAATATCATTAATTGGATGTGTAACAATAAGGTTTTATAATCAATATATCATACTCCCTTTGTTAAAAAAATATAAAATATTTTTAATTAAATTTTATTTCCTAATAAAGAATTACTTATTTTTAAGTTAACCATATATTTTTATATTTATCCCTATAAACATTCTAAAATAAATATAAAATAATTTATTTAATAGGAACATTTTAAAAAAAATACAATAATTAAATTTTAAAAGATTAAAAATACCTTATATTTTTAAACATATAAACCTTCAAAAAATATTTTATAACATTGAAAGGAGGAGTATTCACTCCCTCTATTTCTATATAAAAGAGAAAATAATTGTATATTACAATTTTAAAAAAATTAATTAACTATAATAATTATGTCTGAAAATAAAAAAAATAAATTAAAATATCATTTGTTAATCAAAATAAGGCTGCATTCATTGTTTGTTATGTGAATGAAAATGACGGAGCTTGTATGAAATAATTTAAGAAAATTATAATAACTAGTTATTGAGATATGTGATATTATTTATAAAAAAGAGAGAATCATTCTGAAATTCCATCTAATACAATTAATTATTCATAGGTTTATGAACAACTTTTATTATTTTTTTTAAACTCAATTGTCAATAAATTTAAAAATAATTAATTACATTGAGTAAAATTTGTATGTAATTTTTCATAAAAAACCAACAAACGAAGGTTTCTCCGACTACAGGGAGAATTTTTTTCAAGCGAATACGTGTAGACCAGGGCATGCTTGGCCCCGTGCCCCGTAATAATGCAGAATAAATCGTCCTTTCTTTTCTTTTCTTTTCTTTTTTTTTCCCTTCTTTTCGGCTAAAGGAAACAAATCATCCTTTGATTGACTTCGTGATCTCATGACAAAACCTGGATACCCAATTAAAATGGAATGAACTTGGAATCTTCACATATCAGAATCATTCATAAATCACTCCACTTGCTGACAAAACTGTTTTTGTTGTTTGTGGCATTCACCATGAATCAATCCAGCCAAGCAAAGACAGCATGTCATGTCCCTCAATCTTCTCTCGTACCACACGCATTTTTGCTATATAATCTCACAGGTAGCTCTTCCTGAGATATCCGAGACCAAGAGGCCGTCCCTTTCGGTGGCCCTTTTGGTCTATGCACCATTCAATAAGATCGTAGCTTATCGCTCATACACACAACATACTAGTTATAGATCTTTATTCTCTCGATCCATTCCAAAACATCCGTGAACAATTGTGAATCAAAATTGCTAGTAGTTCACTGAGGGTTGAACTGGAGTGTTTGGGCCACAAATTATTGAGCTGGTCTTGAGACTGATGCCACGATTCAAGCAGAAGACAGAAACAGGATTGAGTGGATGAAGGTGCTCTGAAGTGACAGCCTGCCAAATGGCGAGATAGTGAATCGTTCCAGTTTACATCTCTCGGTTCAGTGATTGAATGGCCAAACAAAGAGACCACTCAACTGTATGATATAATCCATGGCAAAGTTATAAAATTTCTTGGAAACATCATTTAATCATGCGACTTTATAAGTTTGTGTGGCAGACTTAAGTCCATTTAATGAGATTGACATTTGAAATTATCTTAATTAATTGAACGAACGGAATTTGACGAGAGAGACGCGAAGTGGGGACGGGGTATGGCATGCTACAAGTAGGGCTACAAAAATGTTGCTCTTGCCACAGAAAGAAAGCCAGAGAATGAAATAAATTTGATATACCACATCATTCATGATCAATCAAATAAAAATATAATATTCAGATCACATTAAATATAAATTAATTATAATATTAATGATAGTTAAAAAAAGACAAAAAATTAAGCAGGTAATCTATTATAAAAATAAAACCATTAAAAATAATTATACATGAAATTTTATTTAATTGAATTGATACAATTTTATTAGATAAATTATGAATAACATAACGTATCAAATTTATCTAAAAATTAGAGAGCAAGAGAAAGAGACTAGAAATAAGGGAAGAGTAAATAATTTAAAAGGATATGGATGTGGACGTTTAAGGCTGAGGGATGGACGAGGCCAAGGCTGAAGTGGTTATCCCTTGCACCCGCTCTCTCTTTATTATGTTTGATGTGCTTACTTGACTAGATTAAATTCAAGCTCGTTGAATTTAATTGGAAGTAGCATTCTTAAAGATATTTGTTTTTCACATTCACACAGATTTAAACTCAAGATTTCATGTAAAAATAATCATAATCTCTTTCACTGGGATCAACGATCCTTGTTGACAAGTTTCTCTTTATTATTATTGCAATTTTGAATTGTCCATTTCTTTTTTTTTTTTTACCTGCATGTATCTTCCTATTAAAAGTAATCCTAATCAAAATATCATCATACACTAAATATGAATACTTTTTTAATAAAAATTTAAATATTAATTTATCATGTTATGAGAGATTAATTTTTTTTACTAAACTAATTCCCTTGATAATTGTTCATATCATATCATTGAAGATGAATATTTATTTGGGCTTGTGCTAAGACATTGGGCCTCTCGTGGAAATCCTCATGATAAGGAACTTGGGTTTTCTCAGCAAGGAGAGAAGCAACGATATGGATTTTGAGTTCATCAAAAAAAGAAACGGGTTTAAATTTTCTTTCTTTCTTTTTTTACCCCACTTCTTCAGATGATAAATGTCCAGGAAGTGGAACATTTGCTTCTACTCAATATATAAAATATATTGTAACAAATATATATATATATATACACATAAAATATATAAAATTTTTAGTATACACTTGACTGTTCATAATATGACTTAATAGTTTACTCCCTCTAGATCAAAATATAAATAGTTTTTAAAAGAAATTCGCATATCAATAGAGTTTACATTTCCATAAAAATATATATTATTTTTTCTTTTTATCCATAGCCCCAATTATCAATATACTTCATAATGAATAAGAAATAGATCTACACAAATATTTAGATTAATAAATATAAGGAATAAACTATAAATTTTTTTACACATGCTGAGTTGGTTATACTTTGAATCAGTACTAGCGAATTGAAAGTGCTTATATTTTGCACTAGAAAGAATATTTTATCTCAAACATTACAACATACGATACACATTATCCATACCTGGTAACCCATAATGGGTAGCACAAAATATAAAATTTATTATAAAATCAATCTATAACTTTATATGCATCAATATAAAATGCATAGGATAAAACAGGAGGCCTGCAATTTTTCTCTGCAGAAGCATATTATTCTCAAACTACAGGTGGTATGATTTGTTGGGGCTTGGTGTGGTCTTAAAAAAAGTTATTGGTTGCCGGTGAAAGAAAAAAGTTAAATAGAAGTTATAAGCCCACGTTCTCAATGAATTTAAAAGGTCACTTTTTAAGTAGAATTTGATGTTCTTCTCAAGTCCTATTTTATGTTAGTGTTTTGATAATTCGTTGATAATTAATCCCTGAACACACACACACACACACACCTATGTATATGTGGTGTGTTTCAATACTCCTTCATAAACAATTGTATAGTTTATGAAACTCCACTTTGAAAAAAAACAAAAACAAAACAAAACACCCAATTGTATAGTTTATGTTTAGGTTCTAAAACTCCATCATAAGAGAATTTATTTAGAACTTCATTTGATAATCAACTATTTTGAAATTCTATCATGTAATCAATTTTTTTCCATAATCAATTTTAATCAATTGAATTCCTAACAACCCTAGAAGCAAACACATATAAAAAAGTAATTTCAACTTCTCTATAAATAAAATGCAGAACTAGGAAAATATATATGAACCTGTTCTCAAGTCTAATTTAGCTAAACCAAGCCACCATCATTTTTTGTTAACAATTTAAAATTGGATAAATTAGTTCATTGGCCAGAATATAGCTATTGTGCATAAAACATGGGTCAATTTTTTGAAAATTTGGAAGTAGAGTCAAAC